CATAAACATGACACTACCCCCGGGGTTTACACAGACGAGCCGGCGAAGCAAGAAGAGCGCCAGAAGAAAGGGCCCTAGCCGGCGGGGCCCAGCCAGGACAAAAGGAGGTCCCACAAAGCGCCTACACCGGCCGCATTTGCGGTCGGGGTAGACGACGGATGGGGCCCACCTACGAAGGCTGTCCAGGCCTACACGAGATGAGGCAGGATAAAGAGGGATAATCCCCCTCGATCCCAAATCATTGAGGCCAATTTCTAGCCATAGAATAATGGCGCGCCTCTTGTATTTTCATTCCCAAGACTTTCCAACAATAAAATCACGCCCAGTAATCAATAAATTTCAAAATGTTTCCTTTCCTGGTCTATTACTTTACGAAGCTATTAAAAAAGGCAGGTTGGTACATACAATGATAAAAGAAATAATTCCAAATCAAGTCTGTTGATAAATGCGATGAAACCAAATAACAAACAAGCCACTAATTATGCAGGTATTTCACACAGTGATCTGTACCACTGTTTAAAATATATACAGCGTGGTAAAAAAGTTCTGCATAAAATTCATATTTTCGTTAAACAATTTTTTTTCGAAAAACGGTGAGACCCGTCGATTTTTATTTGATCCAGCGCACCTTGTTATGTGGAAATTTTTTTTTCGATAATCCACTTACGGCAGCGTTGACATAATTTTTTTTTTAAATGACAACGCATATTTTTTTCGTTCGAAATTGATGACAGTGATAATTATCTAAACAACGGTGTGAAAATTTCGATGTCTTACATAACAATTTTTTTTAGAAAAATGCACCTTAAGTTCTTATAAGTGATAATTGTCTACTTACACTATTAATGGCTCCGAAAAGGACAAAGTTGACAAAATTACATTTCAAACGAGTAAAATTACACTAATGTTTGTGTAAGTCTAGCGAAATTGTTCGAATTGCCCACCCTGTACCATTTGGCATTGTCCTAAGCGTGTGTAAACGCCGTCTACACTTCGTTCAAGCATTCCCGGGTCGATTTGATTTATTTCAAAACGAATACGGTTTTTAAGTTCTTCCAAATCACCTGGTCTGTTTGTGTACACACGCGATTTCAAATAGCCCCACAAAAAAAAGTCTAGAGGTGTTAAATCAGGCGAACGCGGAGGCCACTCGATTGTTCCGCGTCGCCCGATCCACCGGCCAGTAAACGTGTTATTCAAGTACTCCCGTACTTGCACTCCATAATGGGGCGGTGCACCATCCTGCTGAAACCAAATTCTTTCCTCAGGAATATCAGGATCCTCGTTGTTCGGGAATAACTCTGCTAAGCTTGGGACCAAATCGAACCGCAGGAAATCCAAATAGCGAGCAGCAGTTAAATTTTCCTCGAAAAAATACGGGCCTAAAATACGACGCCCTATTATTCCCGCCCAAACGTTCACCTTTCGGGGGTGCTGATGATCTACTTCTTGCACCCAGTGCGGGTTTTCCTGAGACCAATACCGGCAGTTATGTCGATGCACCGATCCATTAAGATAAAAAGTAGCCTCGTCAGAAAAAATTATGTTCTTGAGGAAGTCGGGGTCTCCGTTACATCGATGCATTAAATCTTCACAAAAGTGGAGACGGCGGTCTGGGTCGTCCTCAGTCAATGCATGTATCAAGTGACCCTTATAGGGGTGAAATTTCTCTTTTTTGAGAAAGTTCACCACAGTTACATGTGAAATATCATTGTTCAATGCAATCGACCTTGTACTAGAATGAGGGTTGTCCTGGAGCTCCACCAGGATATTCAATCTAGTTTCATCATCTACTCTAGGACGACCCGCACGAGGAGCATCTTTCACACTACCAGTTTCCTCAAACCTTGCCAGTACCCTACTAACCGTAGATTGCGTAATTGGTGGTCTGTCAGGGTACGTTGCATTAAATAATTGGCAAGCTTCTTGATGGGTTCGTAACTTATCGCCGAAACCAATCATCCTCAAAATATCAATTCTTTCGCGTTCACTAAGTTTTGCCATTTCGAATTAAACGATTTCACCAAAGAATGTTAAATCGGTACTGATTTTTAGTCTTCAATATTTCAGGTAATCTACTCCTTTCAAGTAAACATTTCTTTGGATCTTTTTTTTTTAGGAATTTATCGGCAAACTCGAAGACAAAAAGTCGACCTTAATTTGCTACATACTATTTGGATTTTGTGCGGTTGAACTTGGTTCTAAATTTTGCAGTTTAATCAGGATCCTGACAATATCTGATGAATAATTCCGCAAATATTACATAACACCAGTTGCAACTTAAGTTATCTGAAATGCTTTCTGCCGAATAAATTTTTTTCTAAGGCATTTGATCCGTAAACAGCAAATTATTGCATTCAAGAACTTAAGGTGCATTTTTCTAAAAAAAATTGTTATGTAAGACATCGAAATTTTCACACCGTTGTTTAGATAATTATCACTGTCATCAATTTCGAACGAAAAAAATATGCGTTGTCATTTAAAAAAAATTATGTCATCGCTGCCGTAAGTGGATTATCGAAAAAAAAATGTTTCCACATAACAAGGTGCCCTGGATCAAATAAAAATCAACGGGTCTCACCGTTTTTCGAAAAATAAAAAATTGTTTAACTTATGCATTTTTACCAGGCTGTATATTAAGATTCATCCTGTAGTTATTTATATTGCGCTATATTCCTACATATTTATTTTCTAAATAATTTTATATTTATTTTAAATTCTATTATCAATACGCGGTTCGTTACTTGTTAAGATTAAGTTGAAATTGTTTGTGAAAACAATATAATTTATTATTATTTTTTCCTATTATCGCAAATTTATTTTTAATTTAGTTCCAATATCGTACGATCACTGTGCAAGTCGTCGAAGATGATTGGTATACACTTTTTTCTGCCACTGTTTCTACTCGCGAAAGGTAACCCCGACTTTTACAATATAATACATTATGATACTTAGTTTAATAATTTTTTCACAAGGCGAAACTCCTGAAAATGGATCCTTTAGGATAGAACTGCCAGAAGATTGCGGTACGTCTAGGTACAGCCAGTTCCAATCGAGGATCATTCAGGGAAACCAAGCTCGCCTTGGAGAATTTCCGTGGATGGCGAGATTAGGATTGGTTCACAAGAAACTCAAACGACCAATGTTCTTTTGCGGCGGCTCGCTGATTAGTAGATACTACGTTATTTCGGCAGCGCACTGTAACGGAATTCCTATACATGTGTAAGTGTAAGTAACTGCAGGGACAAGTGAAGTGCTGGTTGATTAAAGGCTTGTTTCTGCAGCAATCTTCAACGGTTTTAATTGTTCAAATCATTAAGATAGCATCGTTTCTGCACAACAAATCTCGAACTCCGATTGGGGATTTGATATTCGCGGACGATTTTCTAACTGGTTGGATTTACTTGTGGGCTGTCAGTCTACCCGATTTTGACAGCTTTATTATTTTTTAACCTAACTTTTAATTACACTGAACATATTTCCTTATGACATTTGGCGGAGTCCTGTGCAAAGTATCAATTAAGTTAATCGGGTTTGTCCTTTAATTATTACTAATTAGGTATAGTTGGGCGTTGGGCAGGTAAGTGAAAATGTGGACAAAATCTGATGGTGACACTCAAGTCAAGATAAAGGCTGCCGCATTACATAAACCCATACATGTTTTTTTTTTTATAAGAAGTAATTTCCATTTAGTTTCATTCCAAAATATTGATTAGAACCCGAGTTATCACGGAAATATTATTTTTGGGGGTGAACATGAGGGTTAGTTTGCATCCGTTTATATCCGTTTTAGGCTAAAAGAAAAAATATTAGTCCTTATTAATATGTATTTACCTTTTTGATATTAACAATGGATATTGAGCATACAATAATTTAAAGAAACACACGTTTACTGACGCACGCGCATTGACAATAGCCAACGAAATAATCTATCTTTGTCATAAGCGTACGAGCTGTCCACAACTTCGGTACCATGAGTGCAACAAAGCGAACGTTATTTTTTATCTTTGTCCTGGCAGTGTCGTAGGGGCTAAATAAAATTCAAAATATAAAAAGGTAAATAAATTTGTATCTGTCTAAAAAACAAACGTAAAAAAAATTCGAAGTCAACTTTTCATTATTTTAAATAATCAATCGAATAGTATAGAAAAAAAGTTGTTTTAGTTTTGTTTAATCACTAAAATTAACGATTAAAAATTTGAAATTGTTATAACTTTCTTATTAAAAAATATATCTATTTCTCTGAAAAGAAAAGTTACATTTTTTAGAGTAGATTGAAAAAAAAAATACAAAATTCATTAATTTTTCTGCTTATTATGATTTTTTAAATTTCTGAAATCTTCCCTTAACTTTCAGCCTCCCTAACTTTGTTAATTTTAGTAGTACAAGAAAAAGTCAATAGGCCATTTTTATGTAGAATTGTATGCTTTACAACTTTTATAAGAAACTTCAACTGATTTCATTGCGGGTACCCATACAGTGTTCATTAATGGCGTACAGAAAAACCAGAGGCCCATTCTGTGGCTAAATTAAGTAAATTTTGTTACACACATGTAGGCTCTTAAGGCCGCTGTTTCCGAGCTGCAGGGTTTTCAAAATTAAAAAAAAAATTAAAATTTTTAATTTTCTTAAAACCATTCAATCTAACTATTCGTAAGTAGGTAGTAGACGTTTCGCAAGATTTATTAACTAGGATGAATCGATTTTTCTATTGTAATGTAAATGCAACTCTTTTAATTGAAACAAGATAATAAAAAATGCATACGGGGTCTGCTATAAGAGTTTGCGCGCATTAGTCCCATTTTAAAAATGCCAATCTACCAGGAAAGCATTTTTGTACAAAACTCGTCAAATGTCAGATGTGACGGTAAAATATTGCCACACGAGTTTAATGGCAATGCCCCATATAGACAAGCGGTTAAGCCGCCATATTTCAAATAAAATATGATTCAGATTGGAAACCTTTATCTACCTTCATAATCTGTAATAACAAAAAAGCAAAAAATCTCCCTCTACTAGTCAGCAATAGATTTGAGATTGAGATCTCTCTTTTCTTTCTGAAAACTCTCAGAAATTTACTGCAGAACCAAAACTATTTCCTTTTGCTTTAAGTACGAGCTATTCTTATCATTTTTGACCTATTTAGAAAAATAAGTTAAAAAATTGTAATTATAGTGATCATATTTTTATTTCAACATTTTATACAATGTTTTGATTTATTTATTGATCCTCCACAATTGATTAAGTCAAGAGGCTTTTAACTATTTAACTAAGGGAAAAATAATTCCATAAAAGGTGTTTTATATTAACTTCATCCTGTTCCAGACAATGGACATTTTTTGAAATAAGTTTTTCTAATGAAGCAACAATTTTATGATCCTCTAGAAGTCTGACCTCTATGTAGTTTTTTCTATGGGAGAATGTGGCAAATAAAGCAAACAAAAAAAACATATTTATTTATATGGCCTAAGGGAGAAATTATTTATCGAAGTTAGTACTATCAATGAATTGTTTTATTGGAATATCACCCCTTGTCCAAAAAATAAGGTAAATTTGTTTAAAAAATAAAAAATCTTTATTTATGCTTCCAAAATAATTTCGTCATCAACGTTTCCGCGGCGGAATAAAACTCACTGTCGTATGTTTACAAAAACACGAGTAGCTCTGCAGCAATTGAATATATTGACTTGAAATTCTGCATAGATATCAAGGACAGTACTACCAACCTACAAAAAAAAATAATGTATGCTTTTATAATTCCCGCGAATTTTATATAATTAATTCATCTTATTTTTTGGACACGGTATATGTCCTTTGTTAACAACAGGATGAAGGTACATACTATAAAACATCTTTCAAAGTAAAATACTTTTTCTTGGCCAAAATAAACAGAGGAATCTGAAAAACGACAAGTGTACGAGGTCATTTAAAAATATAAAAGACGTCATTGGAATTATTTTTCTCAAATTCACATATTTTTGCAAAAAATGAAGGATTATCATTTTCTCAACAACTTTTATTAGAAGGTTTTGCGATATCTCTTACCGTTCAAAAGATAAATCAATATGTATAGAGAAAAACAGTAGTTCGATCAAGTTTGTTACTAACTCTATCAGCACTGCTGAAGAAAAAATACTTTAAACGTTTATATTCATTAGTGACACAAACCATTGGTGTTTATAAAACGTACTGCTAATTTAAAATCTTCCAAGCTTCTTCAGAAATACAAACGTTGAACGTATCTTGTTTTCCACGGCAACTCTGACAAAACCAAAACAGCCTTGCTCCACTAGTTTTGAATTTTTCTATACTTATCGTCTTAAATCGTTTGATCAGGACGAGATATTGAACCTGTATCCTTATATCATACCATAAAGATCCTTGCTTGCGGTTTCCTATTTCCCGTCAGTTTTGGGTCACATATAGTTCTCACTTGTCAGTTACGTCAGAGCAAAAACTGAAGGCATGTGATCCCTTATAGTCCAATTAAATAAGTTTTTAAATCGAAATTTTTGTCAACTTGTTTGAATTTTTGATATGAGTTAGTTTGAGGAATGTTATAACAATAAGTGACAGTAATTTTTTGTTCAACCCCCGGCCAGGGGAGAAAAAAGATAAAACAAAGGGGTTTTTCAAGAACTCAAAACGGGTAAGGGCTAGAAAAAAAGTTAGGTACGTATAAAAGTTGTAAAGCATACAATTCTACATAAAAATTTAAAAAAAATACAAAATTCATTCGTTTTTCTGCTTGTTGTGATTTTTTTAAATTTCCGAAATCTTCCCTTAACTTCTAGCCTCCCTAACTCCGTTAATTTTAATAGTACAAGAAAAAGTCAAGCAGCCATTTTTCGTAGAATTGTATGCTTTACAACTTTTATAAGACACTTTTTTTTCTAGCCCTTGTCCCTTTTGAGTTATCTTGAAAAACTCCTTTGTTTTATCTTTTTTCACCCTTGGCCGGGGGTTAAACAAAAAATTACTGTCACTTATTGTTATAATATACCTCAAACTAACTCAGATAAAAAATTCAGGCAAGTTGACCAAAATTTCGATTTAAAGGCTTATTCAATTGGACTATTACTGATGTTTTAACTTAAAAATTGCCTACTTTTTATTTCAGAGTGAGGCTAGGAGAAAACTACGTCGAGAAAGACAAAGATTGTGACGAAAAGGGTTTGTGTGCCCCTCATCCTCAGGATATTATAGTAAGAAAATTGATGGAACCAAATTACTGTTTCAGCGATATGACGAATGATTTTCTTCTAATTGAATTGATGCATCCTGTTCAGTTTAATGGTAATTTAAGATGCAATTTTAAAAAGATTAAACGTATTCGCCAGATTTAAACTTGAGCAGTAGTATGTAGACAGTTTTGTTCCCCAAAATAGGCTACTCGTCTTAGCTACATACACCAAGGAAAACTTATTTCCTTTTAGTTAGTTGAGTTATTAACTATAAATGAACTAATTTAGCCCAGTCGGGTTGTCATTTAACCGGGAAAAAATTAGGGACCACAATTTTATTGTCCTAACCTTTAGGGGGGGTCAAGAGTAGTATAAATTCAGAATCGCGACTGAATTCCACCCCTGCATCAGCCGCCATCTTGAATTTAAGGAAAACTCGTTTTTGCTCAATATCTCGGCCAGATCAAAATTGTAGAAAATATAATTCTTTCCAACTTTGTTTATGAACATTTATGTCGTAAAGTCAATAACAAACGAGATAATTCAATAATTATACTTTGTCACTATTTTCCCCCTTAACTTGAAAAATATCGATCGCACGATAAAATTTGTAACAAAAGAAGTTGTAGGAAATCGCATTTACAACAACTGAAGTCCTTACCATTTTAGTTGTAAAGTTGAAAATGGCCGAGATATTGAGCAAAAACGATTTTTCCTTAAATTCAAGATGGCGGCTGATGCAGGGGTGGGATTCAGTCGCGATTCTGAATTTACACTACTATTGACCCCCCCTAAAGATTAGAACAATAAAATTATGGTCCCTAATTTTTTCCCGGTTAAGCCCTTTTTTTGTCTAACCCGACTGGACTAATTTAATTGTCGCTAGAGAGCTGAACAACGTATTATGTTTTTTATAATGAGCAAAGGACCCTTTTGGTTGTTTGTTTCATTCCCAACATTCGACAAAAGTGACAATAAACACACAATATTATCTTACATTCCGTTTACTGCATTCCAGTCTTACATTTGCTACAAATAAGAGCCCAGGACTTCCAACTGAATCAGTTCCACGAAAGTACATTGACACACCCGGGCAGAGCAACTTACTTGCATATAATTTCAAGTGAGCTGTTGCCATTGCAAATGTTTTACTGACTGTGGCTGAAATATCCTAGCAAAGCGCCCCACTTTAATAATTTCTTTCATTGGCGTGCATATCTACGCGGGTGATGGGTCTTAAAATAAAAAAAAATATATATTTGTAATCCATAAAGGGCTCGCTTTTGCTTTTTAGATTTTGTAAAACCGATTTGCCTTCCAAGCGAAGATCTGTCGTCTGACGAGATGGATGAGGAGCACGTGACTATCTCAGGTTGGGGTTTGATCAAATCTTACCCTAGAACAGAGGCGAAATATTTGATGTACATTACAGCCCCTATAGTGGCAAAAGAGAAGTGCGGTAGGTTATTTGGTAGTAATTTATTGGACAGTCAGCTCTGTATCGGGTACGACAAAGGTAGGCAATTTCTAGTAAGTAATATGAAGGATACTACAAAGGTTTTCTCTCTAACGATGAAGAACATGTTTTACATCGTTGTAATAACTTTTTTTTTTCAATCGCGTCGCTAGTCACTGTATTCGAAAGTCTACATCCAAACGTTTCAAATGATTTAGAGTTTGCTGCCTAAGCAGTTCATGCACGAAAGTTAACTTTTCTAGTATGCCTCGTATGTATCACTCAATTAAAAGATCTGATGAGAAGTTGCATTTTCTGTTAACAGGCGTTCTGTTAACACTTGTGGAATCTAATTTTGGTATAAATGTTTTCTTTTTAGGAAAAGATTCTTGCGGAGGGGATTCAGGGGGGCCAGTAATGAAGATGATAGAAAAGAATGGACAGAAAAGGGCACATCTACTGGGCCTCGTTTCTTATGGTTTAGAAAATTGTGGATATGGTCCAGCTGTATACACTTTTGTTCCGTCGTTTTTAGAATGGGCTGCGCCCAACATGCGTAAAGGTTAATAACTGGAAGCAAGTGTATTCTATTTTTATCTACAAAGCTTAATAAAGATAAACAAGAACGTTCATATGTTTCAATTCATGAAATAGTCTTTAGTCTATTTACCTAAAGCGCATATTGTTATACAGTTGGGCGAGTTGAAATCCCAAATTCAGAGCGCATGATCAACTCCAAACCATTTAATCATTAATTATATACGTACCTATATACATATAACTCTTATCTGTATGAATTTAATAAATTTTTTTCTCTTGGCGTGGATCAGGATCTACGGTAATTAGAGCTATTACCTTAAAAAACAAGAGCTGACCTTGAAATAATCTTGAACATGGTAAGAAGTCGAAGTAAAATTCAAGGTCATCAAATGCTTTTCCCAAAAGGACGAAGTTTTTCCTGTCTGTCGTTTTATATTCAAAATTATACCCTGAAACAATATTTTTCACCACGTGTGGAAACAAAGTACGGACCTGGAATGTACGAATTACATTCGAACTGTAATTATTATTCACCGTGATTGTATTTTGATAAATATGTTTTACACAGATAGGAAGAACGAATATTAGTTATTTACACCATAAAGGAGGTAAGTATTATTTACCAGTCGAGGACGATTTTGCGCCCGAGCGGAGCGAGGGCTGGCAACAGAGTCCGAGACTGGTAAATTAGACTTAACTGCCACGGTAGCGCAGTCGGTCGAGAGTGCGGTGGCAAGCATTTCTCGGCTAGGCTTCCTACTTTGGTCCGGGTTCGATCCCCGGTGTCGGCACTGGCAATGTCGATGGATAATGGGTGTTAGTCCGCGTTTTTTCAAGTGTAGCCCCCTTCCGCACAAGCCTTTGGCTTTTGGATTTGGGGGTTGTCTTATTTCTGTGGTGTTTTATGTTTTATGCTGCATGGTGTATAACATTTTATCTGCTCCCACAGTTCTTAATGGTTCATGAAATATAGATTAGGTTTTATTTTTTGACATTTCTTAATCAATTAATTTTGACGTTATTCGAAATCTTACAAAGTCGCTTTGGTTGTTTGGATTTTGTCGTTTCTAAGGTGTTCATAAACAAAGCTACATAAAAGTTGCAATTTTGCTGGAATTATTATTTCCAAATGAGTGATTTTCGAATAGAAAGTGCCTGCGAATTTTTATTGTGCGAGAAGTCGAAAGTGCGCTACGGATGAGCATGTAGACATTTCAAAGAATGGTGCCAGAACAAAAATTCTGGTGTTTCTGAAATGTCACTGCTAGCATATTTCATGAAGTCGAGAACTTTAAAGTCACTGGTATGTATGCAACCAACCAGTCGGCAAGAATACCCTTTCTATGATTCCTAATAAGATTGTACAGTTTTTGAAACTAGAACATCCTGAAACATATACAGGCCATTCATTCCGAAGAACATTGGCAACATTACTGGCTAATACAGGAGTTGATGTATTACCAATCAAGAGACATGGTGGGTGGAAATCAGCCACGATTGCAGAAAGTTGCTGCATTTTGAGAAAAATGTGACAATTAGTGAACGCGAGGGGAATAATTATCCAGATTTTATAAATGTTACTAAATATAATAACTGTACAATTACTGTAAATATTCGTTCATAATAATTAATAAAATGTAATGTTCATCAAATATTTCTATTTATTATAGTGATACAAGAAAGGACTTGTTTCTAAAATCTCCTTTAGTTATTGTTGCGGACAAGGAGAGGGGCCAAGGTTTTATCTTCCCTTTGTTTTTATTTCATTCATCCAATCAATGATTACTTTCTTCATCCACTTAGTAAAACTGCCGACATTCGTGTAAACAACGGGACTCATTTCGCCCAGTTCGCACATCAGTAGGTCGTGAGAAGCGACGCCCATTAGGAACGCTCGATTCACCCCCTTCACGTTTCGGTGCAAGATCAAAGGTCCACCGGAATCCCCAGCACAAGGCTTGTCAACTGAAAAAGATATATCACTAACATTATCATAGTTGGTAGAATTGGAATTTTCGTGGACATTTTATCGTTACAGCTTCATATTGTCACATTTTTAATTTGTTTCTTACCTCCTTCTGGATATCCCACGCAATATTGGTTTTCTTCCAATTTTTTGTCATACACTTTATTGCAGTGCTTTTCGTCCAAAATAGGAGACTTGACGTACCTCAGGTTTTTGTCGGATGCAAAGTCGTTAACGTATACGTTTCCAAATCCTGAATATACCACACCCCATCCTGACATAATCATAGGCTGTTTCTTGGCTTCTCCTGGTGTCAGTAGCTTTTCAGGAAGGCAAATGGGTCGAACAAAATCTGAAACATATTAAAATGTCCAACATTTACATGAGTTTTCCGGATAATTTTAACATAGGATGAATTTTTCGAAATTTAGGGGTTTTATAAGAAAATGAAATTCCAAATTAAAGAATTTTAAATCGATTCTTAAAGATCGGTTGCATTTCCATGGTAAATGCTTTAAAGAACATTCCGTCATATGTGTGTTCCACAAGGTTAGATTTTGGAACGAATACACTGAAGATGAATTTTTCGAGACAAAACATCTGAATCTTGTTCGGGCTGAGTACAGTATTGGGGGTCATGAAGACTTGCAAAAAATGTAATAAAATTTCCAGGGTGGTATTTAAAAAGATGAAGTTGATGATGGTCCTACAGTGTGTTTCATTTAAAGTCGGGACACCTCCGTATTTAGGATGGCGTTGGCCGATTTTCAAAATTCTTTTTTTTATGTGGTAGTACTGAAAAAGGCCTACCTTTTGATATTATATTTTTTGACATGTGATCTTTTCTACGGCCTACTATCATTAAGAAAAGACCCTCAAAAATTAACGAACATATTAGGCATTTTTTTAAGAAAGAAATAGATTTTCGATTTGCTCGCACCTCAGAACTCTAAATACAAAATTTCATTATTATAGCTTTTACATGCTGTTGACAAAGTAGGTGCAAACTTCGAAAAATTCCACGTATTGCAGAGTGGAAAATATTTTCAAGATATTTTTTCATAATTTTATTAACCGAAGGTATATCCATACAGTTTCATTGATTTCACTCATACAGGGTGCTCAAAATAGGACAGCCAAATTATATATATTTTTTATTATACCAAAAATGAGTTTCACAACGAAATAATATTTAAATATTACTGTTTTCTATTAGTCCACATCATTTGGTATGCACTGTTCAATTCATCTCATCTTATTTTTAATAACTCTCCTCAACTGATGCGGTGTTATTTGTCGACATGTTTGTCTTTTACATAAATCTTCTCTGTTCTGGGGCCCTGTTTTATATATTATTTTTTTCGCAGTTCCCCATAAAAAGAAAATAAGAGGCGTCAAGTCTGGAGCTCTTGACGGCCACTCAGCTAACGGGCTGTTGCGACCTATCCACTTTCTCGGGAAATACTCATTCAACCAATGACGTACCTACTATTACCGCATTATGAATAGGTGCTCCATATAATTGAAGGTAGAGGTTCTGTCTTACATGAAGAAGAAATGCATGTACTGAATCCCAGAAATCAATGTTTAAAAAATTCACAAAAATCTCTGCGTTTAGATTAACGCAAAAAAGAAGGGCCCGATCGATCACATAAAATCCTACAAAACACGTTAATTTTTTTAATTAAGATTTATGTAATATAATTAGACAAGCATGTCGACAAATAACACCGCATTAGTTGAGCAGAGTTATTAAAAATAAGAGAAGACGAATTGAAGAGTGCATGGTGGACTAATAGAAAATAGTAATACATATTTAAATATTATTTCGTTGTGAAACTCATTTCTTGTATAATAAAAAATATGTATAATTTGACTGTCCTATTGTGAGCACCCTGATGGGTAAAATCAAAGAAACTGCAGTTAATAAAATTATGAACATCTTGAAAATATTTTTCACTGTTAATACACTGCAATAAGTGAAATTTTTTCGAAGTTTGCACCTATTTTGTGAACATCTTGTAAAAGCTGTAATAATGAAACTTTGTATATAGGGTTTTGAGGTGTGATCAAATCGAAAATGCTATCCATTTCTTTCTTAAAAAATGCATAATATGTTTTTTAATTTTTAAGGGTCCTTTCTTAATGATAGTAGGCTGTAGAAAATATCACATGTCAAAAAATATTATATCAAAAAGTAGGCCTTTTTGAGTACTACCACATAAAAAAAGAATTTTGGAAATTGGCCAACGCCGTCCTAAATACGTAGGTGTCCCGACTTTAAGTGAAACACACATAAAAATTGATTTAAGCCATTTGATATAGGACAAAAACTTGCCACGAGAAAGTGTTATTTTTTCAATATCACCTCAAACAAGGCTGAAATGAAACCGAAACAGAATTAAAAAATCTCGGTTTTTTCATATATTTCGAAAATTTATCATGTTAGCCTTGATTTTTTAGAGACATAATGTTGGTCCCCTAACTATGCAACTTTGCCCTCATTTAAGCTACTTCGTATCTCCTACCGGTTCCGAGATTTGTAACAACCTATATACAGGGTGTTAGAAGGGGACCGCCTAGCCGGGTGTCTTGGCCGGCGGATTTCGGTCTGCCGAGACAATCATCACGGACGCAGGCTGGAATTTGGATAGGTGACCTAAGGTAGGGTCGGGGACGTGACTGTGGCAGCCTACCAGAGACCTGGGTCGCCCAACATTTGCCGCATGCATGTGGTCCCCGAAAAACAATTCCACCACCCTCCGACATACATACAGGGTATTAGAAGATTGACTGCCTTAATTTTAACAGACGATAAAATACACTAAAATAAACAAAACAACCTTATATGACATGGGTCCTAAATACAACCATTTCCGAGAGAAAATTACTTGATGTACAAAAGTTCGATTAATTAAGGAATATTGACATAACTGCGTGCATAGAATTCCGTAAAATACAATGATTATCACTTTTTTGAACTTCTTTATGCTTAATTCTAAAAAATAATTAGCAATGTGACAACGGCGCGGTGGTTTATTAACACGAGGTGCTCAGGTGTCCAGTAACCACCAATACGTAATTCAGTTGGTATCTGGATTCGACCGTGTCGGAGTGTTTTTTGTGTACCACTATTTTCTTTTCTTGAGGTGTTTTCAAATTCATAATTTAATTAAAAGTTAAGTTCCTATTTTTAGAGATCCATAATTACTAAAATTCGAACTAAAATTTAAGCGCAACACTAGGTTCATACTACAAAATCGGTACATTTTATTTTATTTATTAAAAAACTGGAAAACAATTGTCTTGAAATTTACTAGATGTTTCACAATAATAGTTGTTTACAATTTTTCCGTAGGACGTCTGCCGCGTGCACACGTGGTATGCATTAGCTGTGTAGCGTTAGGTTAAGCGCTGTTGTCACGTTGTGATAAAACTCCTCAATATTAATACTCGCTGTATTTCCAAAAACTGTTAAACTTACGCCCCTATAATATACAACTTTTTTGTTCATTTCTGATTACTCTATCTCATATATTGCAGAATTACCATTGAATGTCGCTGGTTTAGCTAGGCCCAACACTATGATGTCGTTCTTATTGGACAAGCGACAGTGGTCTGCGTGTATGTGTTTCTTTATCTCGATGTCCTGAGGAGGTGGAGCGCATATGCATTCTTCGCAATCAACGTTTTCATCAATATTGTTCTCTCCTATCCTCGCCCTGAAGAAGTACACCTAAATTCATGTTATTTAGCGGTATTGTCACTTACACTTCACTGAGTTTCCCGCAGTGAGCTGCCGATACGACAATTTGTCTGCTAACCAGAGACCCCCCGCAGTAGAAAACTAGTTTTCCCGCATCCATATCCATCGCGCCAAGTCTAACCATCCACGGGAATTGCCCGAGCTGGGCCCTGTGTTTTTCACTTTCTGTTAGCTTTATGCTGCCGTTGTCGTACATTGTTCTACCGCAGTCTTCTTTCTTGCCCTCCCAGACAGAGGTATCGATGAAGTCGCCTACGGTGACAACGGTTTAAACATTTTTCTGTCTCTAAGGAATTACAAAATGCGATCGCACCTTCTGCAATACGAAAAAACGTGTATAAAACATGTATGAAATAATAATTCATTTCTGTCGTTGTTCGTAAAGTTACGTGTGAAACCTTGTTTACATTTATATTTATGACATACATAACAGAATGCTATAAAGAGTAACGAAATTAATTCCTAACCTACACAGCTTCCGTATAATTTTTTAAATTAATGTAATTACCGTATAAGGTGTAAAACTATAAAAATAAACTTTATATCTGTCGATGTTGGCATAAAACCATTTAATATTTTCAAGTTGGCGTTGGTTTGACCTTGAAACTTGAGGTACAACTCTTTTTTAGGCTATTGTCAAGGGCAAACGAACAAACAGCAACAGAGAATTTTAATTCTGTATTTCTCTCTACAAAACAACTGAGACTTTATTTGATTTCATTGAAATATATATAACCTTTGGTAATTACGATGGTTGTTTTACGGACAGGTAACTGAAAGTTGTGTGCTGTGTTGCTTCATGAAAAGAGAAATCTCAGAGGTCTAATACTAATCTTAACTTATTATCAGGAGCTTTCGTTGTAATCAAAGATAGGCAGTGCAGATATAGCGAGTGTTTTTCACGTCTGGGTGACCTGGGTCCTCCTTAATTTTTATAATTTGTAATTAAATTATTATTGTGGCTTTATTTATTAAATATATTTTACACAAATACAGAAACTTACGTTTTACATATAATGAAAGATTAAGAAAATCTTTAGTGGCAAAAGTCTTAATACAGGATGATTCAAAACTTATAAAAAAAAATTTGAATGACAGGGGACTGTTACCAATATAATTTTGTAAAAAAGAATCAAGAACGGCAGGTAAAAAAAAATAAACGGACAAAAAATTGAAAGAATTTCTTTCCCAAGGAAAGAAATAAATAAAATTTTATAACACTTATATTATATCAGCAACTTCAACGGTTTTCGCTATTGTTACTATTAATTAATAAAATTTATTTGTGGTTTTAATTCATAAAATAATTTGACATACCTACCTGATGTTACAACTGTTCAAAATTTTGTCCACCTAAAACAAATGTTGTCTTGTTTCTCCATAAACTAAAACGAGTATAGCAACTACGAGTTGCTATACACGTAAGCAATTTTTGTCACTTGAAAAAACTAATGTAAACACTATCACAAAAACCTTAATATTGAAATCGGATTTCAGTATTCGGAATCGCAGGAGGCCACGTGAAGAGAAAATTTTTTTTTACGATATTGACTCCTTTTTTTATGACTACTCCCAAATTTTTTTTGGATAACTTGTGAATCACCCTGTGAATTACAAGCGACATTGTTTTTTCTATAATTATGAAATGGAATTGCACCAATTGTGTTAAACTGTCTTCACGATGACGAAATAAAGAAACATGTCTCTATAGGCTGTTACAAATTCGTTTCTCACTACAGGGATCTCGGAAACGGTAAGAGATACGAACTAGCTTAAATGGGGGCAAAGTTGCGTAATCAGGGGAACAACATTATGCTTCTAAAAAATGAAAAAGAAAACTGAAATTTTTGAAATCCGATTTTGTTTCATTTCAGTCTGGTTTGAGGTGATATTCAAAAAAGAAGAACACTCTCATGTCAACTTTTTGCCCTCTATCGAATGGCATAATCAATTTTTATATTTTTCCAGACTATCATCAACTTCATTTTTTAAATACGGCCCTGGAAATTTTATTCCATTTTTTGAAAGCCTTCATGACCCCCAATACTGTACTGCCTCAACCCGAACCAGATTCAGACGTTTTGCCTCGAAAAATTCATCTTCAATGTATTCATCCAAATTTTTCTAAATTTTTTATTTAGATTTCTGTTTATTGAATTATTAAGTGTCGTTAGGCCCTGTGAAATCCACCTAGTTATTACCATGACGCATTACAATAAAACATTATTAGAGTATTAATCCAGTGCCCATAGTTATTTCTCGAGTGCTCAAAATTCAATTTCACGGGGTCTAGCGATACTTAAGATTGTATGAAATTGATTTGGAAGCATAAATAAAGATTTTTTATTTTATTTAAACAAATTAATCTTTATTTTTTTGACAACGGGTTAATAGCACTTCTTTGTCATATTTTCAATGAAATTTTTGAATCTGGCATATACCCAAAAGGAGTTGTAATTAAACAATTATTTGAAACAAAATTTAATTAAAACATTATTTAAACCAAAAAACAAGTTTGTGTATTGTGTTTTTTTATTGTTTCTATTTCTGTTCCCGCTTCTCATTCTTTTTCTGTTTCTTTATCTTTTTGTAACTCCTCTTTATTCGCTGTTTCAACCATTTCTTCTTCTCTTGCCTCTCCTATATCTATTTCATTTCCTTCCCATACATTTTTGATTGACATTTTCTTCCCCTTTCCTTTCTGAGATTCAATCCAAATAGGTATTATTCTCGGAATCCAGTCTGAAATTTTTGCGACATTGGTGTAAACAATGGGTACCGTTTTGTTTATTTTGCACTTGAGGAGATCGTGAGAAGCGATACCTACTAGAAACGCCCGATTCAACCCCTTCACTTTTTTGTAGTAGATCATTGCACCTCCAGAGTCTACCACGCAGGGGTCCTTGACTGAAAAAGAAATCCGAGTCATTACCAGCTCTAACAAATTCTTATCTATTTAGAATGAATGATTTCAATTGTTACCAACCGACTTGCGGATATCTCACGCAATATTGGTGGTTATCTAATTTGTAGTCATATACGTTGTTGCATCTCTTGTCATCTACAAGAAAAGATTCGATGTACATCAGGTCGCTGGTCACCTCATTCATGAATATATTCCCGAACCCCGAATACGCTGCACCCCATCCTGGTACGATCATCCGATCTTTCTTTTCGTGTACTGATAGTAGATTTTTAGGAAGGCAAATAGGTTGCACAAAATCTGAAACAGGTCAAAATATGATTCAGAGTTCTATTATGTAATAGAGAAACAGGTGCCTGGAGTGTCGCAATAGTGTGGCTGACAATACTACAAGTAGTGACGTCATTAAACAATATCACATCAGTTGTGTTACTAGTAAGTGCAGCAATCCAGCACACCGGATCCATTAAAGAATTCCGCTGATATATGGCGAGCTACAAAAGACAGAAAATGACACAATTACCATTTAACACCGCTGGCTGTGCGAGGGCTACTATTAAGATGTCGTTTTTGTTGGACAGTCGACAATGGTCGCTGTATATGTGGTCCTTTATCTTGATATCTTGTGGAGGTAGTGCACAAATGCTTACATTACAATCGATGCCTTCGTCTATATTGTTGCTTCCTAATCTCGCTCTAAAAGGATACATTTAAATTCGTAAGAGAAAGAACTGAAACTGGTTCGCATGGCGCGTGACGTCACGTGGAGCGTACGTATCAGACAAATAAAAAGTGGTTTGAAAATAAAGATACCCTTAAAAATAGGTATTTGAAAAATGGAAAACATGATGTCCTCATTAAAATATTTGCTTTGGATGTCTGTTTTACAACCAAAAATAGAGAAGACAGTTTTAATACACACTAGGGTCTCCTGTAAATACGTGTACAACGGAAGTCCATAAAGACATGAGTTAGCATTATTAACGACACTGCCCCTCAGTCTTGCACGGATAACATCCACAAATCGCTGTTTGTTCTCCACGTGGCGTCAAGGAACTTAAATATGTTATTTAGTGGAATTACCACTTACATTTTGCTGTGACTCCCGCAGTGAGCTGCCGAAAGCACAAAACTTCTGCTAATCAGAGACCCGCTACAGTAGAAATACATTTCTTTGGTACTGGCTTGGATCACACCAAGCCTAACGGCCCACGGAAACTGCCCGACTTCGGCCTTGTATTTTCCGCCTCTCTCCAGCTTCAAGCTGTCGTTGTACATTGTTCTGCCGCAGGAATCTTCCGTGCCCTCCCAGCGTGACATATTTACGAAGCCTACCATGAGAACAAAAAAGATGACATTCTAGTTTTTTTTTCTTAAAAAAGGTAAGACGTATTTAAATTCAGTTCGTTCGTTATTTTGTGATTTATGACCGAGTAACTTTCTTAATATTTCGTAGAATCTGACGTACAAATGGCACACAAATTTAAGTCTAAAGTTAATTTATCGTGAGTCAAGGTTGTAAATTTAAATGAGAGGAAATTTCTGGTTAAAAAAATGTAAAATATATCATAACTTAGGTTAGGTTTATACAGGGTGATTTCACTATAAATACGGAAACTGCAGGACTAGATTCATTACCAAAAAACAAGTAGAGTTCGCTCTATATACCTATTAAAAAGGGTAATTCTAGATCTGGTGTCTCAAAAATCGCGGCAACAATATACAGGGTGTTCCTAAATAAGCGTCGCAACGGAAAACTGTAAATTCCTCTTGAAAAAAGAAACATTCTTTTCCTCTTCCATTTTTCTCTTCGGGCTTTAGTTTTCGAGACACACGGTGTCAAAACTTTATTTTTTTTTTAATTTTTTGCCAATATCTTAGTAACCGTTTGAACTACAGGACTGAGTTTTTGTACACACATTACCACTATTAATAGCTACTTTTTCTCACCCTTCTCGAATTCATTGAACGTGCCAGTGGTGGAGATTTTAAGGTATCGTAAGGGTTTTCCCCTCTAACTTTTACGCCACTGGCAAAATTGACATTTGACAGCAAATTCTGACGCGCCAATGAATTTTACACAAAAAGAGTTCTCTTGGTTCATTGCTCTAAAGTCAACCGTTTTCAAGAAAAATGATTTTTTATGAACAAAAACAAAAATTTTGCTAACATTTCGAAAATCTTTTGTAATTTAAAAGATAGATAGTAATAATTAACAATTTTAAGGAAATTTAACAACATTTTCAACAAGTAGCTATTAATAGTTGTAATGTGTGTACAAAAGCTTAGTCCTGCAGTTCAAACGGTTCCTAAGATATTGGCAAAAATCTGAAAAAAGTTTTGACACCGTGTATCTCGAAAACGAAAGCCCGAAGAGAAAAATGGAAGAGGTAAAAAATGTTTCTCTTTTCATGAGGAATTTACAGTTTTCCGTTGCGACAATTATTTAGGAACATCCTGTATATAAAAGACTTATTGAATGGTGTAAAATGAAGAAAGTAGCAAACAAGTTTATTGAAAATATACTTTTGGCTTACTTAAAAAAAAAATGTAACTTATGGAAGGCGTCAACACTGAGGTGTAATTTCTCTATGATAAAAGCTAGTTTGCAAATCAAGAACAACGTAGATATAAGCTAATACCGTTTTTAAAACGGAAAAGTGTCGGATATCGGCCAAAAAAATCGAAAATATTTACTAGCGAACAAATTAATAGCCCAATTAACTAAGCCTTTAAATCGAAATTTTGTCAACTTGGCTGAATTTTTGATATGAGTTAGTTTAAGGTATATTATAACAATAAGTGAGAGTAATTTTTTGTTCAACCCCCGGCCAAGGGTGGAAAAAGTTAAAACAAAGGGCTTTTTCAAGATAACTCAAAAAGGGTAAGAGCTAGAAAAAAAAGTTGTAAAGCAGATAATTCTACATAAAAATGGTCTCTTAGCTTTTTCTTGTATTATTAAAATTAACAGAGTTAGGGAGGCTAGAAGTTAAGGGAAGATTTCAGAAATTTAATTTTGTTAAATCATTAAAATTAACGATTAAAAATTTGATTTTTTGTTATAACTTTCTTATTAAAAATTAAAAAATATATCTATTTCTCTGAGAAGAAAAGTTACATATTTTAGAGCAGATTGAAAAAAAAATACAAAATTCAATCATTTTTCTGTTTGTTATGATTTTTTTTTAATTTCTGAAATCTTCCTTAACTTCTAGCCTCCCTAACTCTGTTAATTGTAATAGTACAAGAAAAAGTTAAGGGGCCATTTTTATGTAGAATTGTCTGCTTTACAACTTTCATGAAAAACTTTTTTTTCTAGCTCTTACCCTTTTTGAGTTATCTTGAAAAAGCCCTTTGTTTTAACTTTTTCCACCCTTGGCCGGGGGTTGAACAAAAAATTACTCTCACTTATTGTTATAATATACCTTAAACTAACTCATATCAAAAATTCAGCCAAGTTGACAAAATTTCGATTTAAAGGCTTAGTTAATTGGACTATAATACATTTTTCAGATTCGGGAGCTGACTTGATTACAATAAAACGACAAGATGGATGGAAATCATCAGCCCTTGCTGAAGGCTACATCGAGGATTCTATTACAAAAGTAAAATTGCTGAGAGAACCTTATTCCAGTACCAGTACCTCTTCTAATGCTGCAATTACTGTAAAGTGTAGACCCTTCTACCTTGACGTGAGTGTCATCAGGTGACGTCGACGATAGTATTGCAGTTAAATTTATAATTGTTCGAATGTTTCTAAATAATACATTTTTTCTAAATTTATCAATACAGCTTTCTATTATCTTGAGAAGACGGCATATTACTCAATATATGTATACAGCATTTTATTTCTTACACTAATGTAAAAAGTGTTTTTAACACGTAACGATAAAATCAATTTTTTGTTCACTTATCAATTAATTAAAAATGCCACTTTTAATGACAGTTTTACAAAAAAAACTTTCTTTGGGTTATTTAGATCTTCATATTGTTTTTTTATGTTTTTGTATGAATTCAATTGATAAGAATTAAGAAGATTAAGAAAATTGTTGGAATTAATTCAAAAATATAATCTTACCCTGTGCCGTAAGAAAATACGTAGATAAAACAAATATTATAAAGTAGTAACCCATTTTTGTTACAAGGTACCTATACCTTTGCAACTTTTTTTAGTAATAAACTATATATAACAGTTATAAATAAAAACGACATTGTTCTTAACCTACGCAGCCTTATCGATATCGAAAAAAATCAAATATTTTATATAAAATAATAGCAAATATGTGTCGGTATCTATAACTCTATTAAAATAATATAAATCTTAAGGAAATTATTTTTTATCCTTACCGATAGATTAAGCCTGAAATAGCTTTTATGAGAAATAGATTGATAAGTAAAGCGTATGTCGCGTCACAGAAAAATAAGTTCTGGGGAAGAGCAACCAAAAAGGAAACTATTGGTGGCTAGGAGAAAGCGTGAATAAAGTTGCTTCTCCCACTTTGCTAAATAACCAAAATAAATACTAATTTTGGGTTTATACAGTGGCGGCGCGTGAACATTGATTGAATGTGTTCTGCTTAAGGTTGTTACATTTGTTGAATTGAATTCCGGGATATTAAGTGCCCGGAGTTTCTAAATGGCGCTGCAGGCGAAAAATTTTAAAATTTTCAAGGTCACGCGTTTTCCTGGCACTTCTGAATTTCAAGGAACAATAAATTTATAAAAAAAATACAGATTTTCACAAGAATGATTTCTGAAATTGATACCTTTTTGAAATATCCATTTACGAATTACCTACTGATGGTATAATAAATTGGAATAAACTAAATATATTTTATTAAATTATTGAATATTGTTTATAAAAAAAATCGTTTGTGAAATTTACCAACAATTCAACGAATTTTAATTTTCCTCGGCGTGTTATGATTTTTTCTTTATATTTTTTTATATATATGTACATTATATTATATTCCGGGAGTTATACGTGCAAATCCGAAATCCGGGACCATACAGCTAATTCCCGGTACAATCACAGAAAATCCCGGTCATACCAATGTGGCTAGATGTTCTTTTAAAATTTATGAGTCCACGAAACACATCAGGGTTGTCCGAATTTTCTGTCTTGTCGTGTCCGAGAAGTGCTAATTCGAAAGCTCCGCAAAAGTTTATGCAATCTATGATTTTAAATAATACATGACGATTTTTCATTACCTGTTCATGTTTCCGTATATTATCCCAATATGCAGAATCTAACTGACTTCTTATGTTTATTTTACCTAAAGACTTAATGACTTAAATCTTTCACACTGTATATTGTCCATGCTTTATCCCCACCAAAAAGTAAGCACGGAAAACAAAACAGTGAATATTTTAAATCACACCCGCACACCCACTCTGCTTTTGTGCATACATTATTGTTTTTTTATAACTTTTACTTCTTTTATTTTTAGTTTATCCTCATAAGGCAGAGAACCAAATAAAGTTTTTTTTTTAAACGAAACGCTATTCATTTTAATAACTATAATATCCGTAGACGCCTAAACGAAAATATTCACACGTGCCGCTCGCAGAAATAAACCACCACATACCACGTACGAAATATTACTGCATTTACTGCAGACTGCAGCGCAGTGGCTGTCACTATTGCAGCCGCCAAAGCCCCTATCTTCGTGTACTGGGTCACGTGCCTGATCAGCCAATAAAAACAAAGGACGCATATAATTGTTCGCTGTCCACACATTGTGTATATGAGGTTGCATATATTAAGGAGCGTAGCTCGCGTCGCAATAAAGAATAATATAAGCTCCTAGATTTATTTTAGCGCGAGTACATTTGGATTCTTTAAATATTTTGTTGATATTTAATATTATTAAATACATAAAATTTTATGTGTTCTGCAGCTCCGCAGCTCTTATGGTAAAACCGCCACTGGGTTTATATAAGTGATTATCGTAGATTTGAGAAAAGAAAGATAAGGTGTATACAGACCGACACGAATAAGTTTGCCTCTGAGTTAGTTCCGCCCACTAATACGCACCGGATACGACAAGGAACGTATTCGTAAAACTAAGTTCTAGTCAATGGGATCGAGAACTCAGGGCTTTATTAAAGTTTCCGAAACGATTTCGCAATGGAATATCTTTCAAAATTGACAAATAAAAGGTTAAGGGGGCAGTCAGCCTGTGTCCCGTTTTTCAGGTTAACACATCTGAAAATGTGAGAAGGCTGTGGACTATCCGCAAGCCAATTTTTTTTGCAAATCTCCTTCTGAAGGAGGGTTATATTTCAGTAAACATTTTAAATATGCAACAAAAGCCTGACCTACTACTATTTTTTAAATGGGTCATTTTTCCAGAAAGTGGTATTAGGCATTTTTTGATCAAAAAAATAATATTACCAGGCTATTCAACACCCATCAAAATATCCATATACCAAATTTGATCGACAAATGTCTATTGGGTGTTTTTATGGGGTGCCAAACTTCGAAAAATCAGACAACTAAAAATTATAATAAGCAGGTCAAAGATTGCTATGAAAGTGAAAACAAGTACCAATCGGACAAAGAAAAAAATACAGGCTGTATAAATTTAACACTTTTAATTGCGGCCACAGTAAAATTAATAATTAACGTACTAAAAATGTAATGAATTATAAATATTGAGTTGTTAAACAAAAACATTGCACAACAATCTAAATTAAATTTTAGTTTTCTCTACCAAACTTCCTTCCAGTCGAACACATTTTTCCAATCGTCTTCTATTTTTTTCTTTGTCTGATTAGTACCTGTTTTCACTTTCATTGCAGTTTTTGACATGCTTATTATAATTTTTAGTTGTCTGATTTTTCGAACTTTGGCACCCTATAAAAGAACATACATTTGTCAATCAAATTTGGTATATTATGGGTATTTTGATGGGTGTTGAATAGCCTGGTAAGATTATCTTTTTGATAAAAGAATGCCTAATACTACTTTCTGGAGAAACGACCCTTTTAAAAAATCGTAGTAGGCCAGGCTTTTGTCACATCAATAAAATGAGTAGTAGAATATAACCTCCCTTTAAGGTACTATTTGTAAAAAATTGGTTTGCGAAAAGTTCACAGCCTTCTCACATTTCCAGAAGTGTTAATCTGAAAAACGGGAAACACTGTATATACACCGGTAACAAATAGTAGTAGATTTATCAAAAAGCATAAGATTTACTTTTTTCAAACCAAATCTACTCGTTAAAAATAAAAACCCGTACAATTTAGAGGGAACACGAACATTTATTAAGGAAATAGTTTATTTATTCATTTTAACAATAGGGGATATACCGCTCATATTGTTCTTATTTCTAAAAATTAAAAACGGTATCTCGTTAAAAAATCCATTTTACACTATGCATAATGTGCAACAATTTGATATAATTAGCACATGTAACAAACACATGTTATAATATATTATAATGTCATTGAATACTGATAATGTAGATTACAAAATAAATTATTAAAAACTATTGTTATAAATGTTCACTTAATATTATACAGGGTGTCTCATAATAAGCTGCCAACCCTGAACAGGCCGATTCTATGATCAAAACTAAGTAAAAAAGTTCATATGAACATGGGTCCGGAAATGCTTCCTATTTTTTGTTTAAATTACTATGAAATTGACCAAAGTGGGATTAATTCAAGAGCGATTTTCTCAGAAACCGTTAAAGATAACGATTTGAAACAAGAGTACCTTTTCAACGTAAAACAGTTCGGGAATTTGCTGTCCAATTTGTTAAAAAGTCAAAGATGAAAAAGTTACACACGCAAAGTACCAAGGGCCCCCCGTACCCACCTCAATGGACCTTGTGGAAATAAATGGATTAGTCCATCAAATTGCTCATCAAAATTTAGCTGTGTATACCAAATTTCATTCATTTATCACTACGCGATTGAGAGATATTGCAAAAAAATGATTTCCATTCCTCCCTCTTCAATGGGTCCCTGTGCCCTTAGGAAGCATTTCCGGACCCATGTTCATATGAACTTTTTTACTTAGTTTTGATCATAGAATCGGCCTGTTCAGGGTTGGCAGCTAATTATGAGACACCCTGTATATTATATTCAAAACTATATTCTTACATCGCAATTTGTAATAGTATGAACTTGATTCGTTTTCATTGGTGATCACCATTGTGGATTTATATTTCTATGGTGACTACCCGTCAGTATTGGAATTTTTAATCCGTCTGACTTATCTGTCTGACATACAAATTGACATTGTTTTGTACTAGTGCGAAATTTATAAAACTAATATTGACCATTTGAATCCATTGCCCATCTTATTTTGAAGGTAAGCAATTTACTTATAAAATAAACTGGTTTCCTATGAATGAATTTTACATCGGCTTCTCCGCTCGCTCACGGCATCAGTTTCCTATAATTGAAAATTGCTCACTAATCTTTCACAAACCCTTTAGTACAAGCGTTTCTTTACTTAATACAAATAACATGTTTTGTTCCTGGACACAGTAATGTATCTGGTACGGTATTCGTGCCACTCAATGATAAATAATACATGTCAGGTTTCTCATAAAAATGCAGAAACAATTATTTCGTACCTTACGGCAAATCATTGTTTATGTAATTAATTTTAATGCAGAAAACATGTTATTACATTATCAGTACCAGTAAAAGGTACCGCATTTAAATCTTACTGACAGACTACCCATGAAAACGAATTTTTAACTATTTCAATTAAGACAAAATAGAACAACACATAACCTATTTATTATTATTACTAACAGAATTAACTAGAAGTAGAAGCAGAAATTCTTATTTACTGTTGTTGCAGCGTTTGTATAAAGTTTCCTTCATATTGTATCATTCAAACCACTTTGAGTTTCCATTCGATGGAATCTCAATATATTTTTCAGTCACCGAAGAATTTCTTCATCCACCGTGTCATTAACCAACGGAACAGGCATAAGCGTTTGTAAAAAAAGACCCAAATAACGAGCGTTCAAATAAAAACGTGGTCAAGTTGGTTCTGAAAATTTGGACGTAGGGCGTAGCGTATAGCAAATGAACTTAAACGTCATCTGTCAAAGCGCTATATCGCCGCTATCAATTTGAATATTTTCGTTTTAAAAAGCGTTTAAAATGGTGTTTTCTCAAGAACAAAAAGTGTTTATCATAGAGTCCTACTTTAGAAATGGACGCAAGATTGATGGAATATGGAAGTATTCTATTGAGGAATGTTTCATAGAATTTCAAAATCAATTTCCCGGCGTTGTTGAGTACAAAATTTTTCAAAGTGCAGTTCAGCGTTGNTTTTACTAAAAATTACCTATGTGGTAATTGATTTTCAATACCCTGTTATTTTGGCATGTTTCGACCGGTAGACACGTCAATGTCGGAGGAATTTCTGTCGGACAAATTTAAATCGGCATTCGCAACAAAATTTCCAGTTACTTAAGCTAAAAATAAAAGATGTGGTCTTGAGTTTTCAAGACCCCGGGAAATTGCCATGTTTTTAGACTTTTCCGAGTGGAAAAGCGGAGGAATCGAGAAAAGTCGTAGAGGAAAAATGTGGTAGACTGGTCAAAAGGATGCGCCTCAGGAGTTATAAAGTATGTGGTAATCAACTTTCCAGGGGGGGCCTGTACTGTGGACTAAATGTCCTGTACACTAATTTTTATCTTTGTATTATTTAAACGGCAAATGAAATATTTTTGTTCCAGTGAAAATGACAAAGACTTTCAGCAAATTTATACTGCTTTTGTGGAAAAACTGGGTTATAATGAAACGTCACCGTTGTGAAACGACACTGGAAATTCTGATACCTCTGCTATTTTGCATGTTCATATTATGGTTGAGAAGCCTATTGGATCCTATAGAGCGGAAAACCATGGTTTACGATCAGTTTTGCACGTTGCCAGATGATTTTAACATTAAGGGTCAGTTATGCAGTGCAACTGACGGGTGAGGGTAACATTATTTTTTTACACTTTGTGGGTACATGCGTAAGTATACTGTCCCATAGAGGTTGGGAGCTCTGGGACCAAGTAAGAGAATTTATATCTTTCGTTAGAGACCAAAAAGATAAATCAAGAGGATTGAAATCCGGACTTCTGGGTGGCCAAGCAAAAATTCTTCAACGGCTTGAAGAAGTTCTACTTTATTTAAGAAGAGACGTGGTCATGTACGACGGAGCTCCACCACATTTTTCTCGGCCAGTGCGTGCATATTTAGATGCAGTCTTTCCAAATTGCTGGATTGGCTATGTCAGCATTTTTGCTTGGTCACCCAGAAGTCCGGACTTCAATCCTCTTGATTTTTCTTTTTGGTCTGGAATGAAAGATACAGTTTACAAAGAATCTATTGGTTCGCGTGAAGAGTTGAGGCAAAGAATACAAATCGCTGTCAACGAAGTCAGACGCAATCCCAATATGTTGTTTTAAACCCGAAGGTCTCTCAGAAAACGTTGTGTAAATCTATCAGAGTCAACGGTGAATTCTTCGAACAATAATTACTTTAAATCATTATTAGGTATTTCATTTGTTTCATTGTTAATTGTTGTAATAACATGAAGAAACACTTAGTTTGTTTCGCTTTTAATTTCTGGTATTATCAAAACATAGTGTTCGTTAAATCCATTTTTCTCGAAAACGGATCGAGGTACCGAAATGAAACAAGATTACACAATTAATGGAAAAATGATTGCTCTTTCAGGTTTTGAATCAAGTTTTATGTTAGACATACAGGGTAAAAAGTTATTAACTAAATATTCGGTAAAATTGGTCGTAACTGGCGCCCTCTATGAGCAACGCTGAAATTGCAAAGCGCATCTTATTCATCGCTTAAAAAAACATAGTTTCACAAATTTTCAAGTTCCTAACCTAACCTACATATTTTCAGAATAATCGTAAAAAAACGATTTAAAATTTTAACTTTCAACACCCTGTATTTTCGAAACTATCAACTTTCGGATAAGGCATGTTTGCGCCAATGGTCACCATTTCACGTGTAGTATCTTCAGCGTTTGATTTTCCCATTGTTAATGAATCACCCTGTATAATTTTTAGTACGCTGTGATTTCTATTAAAAATATTGACAGTCCTGTCATGACTGGGTATTTAAAAATTAAGACAATTTTTTGAGAAATAGTGTTTTGTAATTTACATTACAACTCCATGGCGTTGTTTAGATAATTTTAGACCAAAAACCATTAATAAATCATGGGCCTAAAACTACGAGTTGTTGAGGCCAAGAGTACCAAGTTAAAAATCTCTGAAGATGTAGATAAATAAAATTAAACTAATATTTTTATAATTTATACATGTTGTTGCTGTTGTTGTTATTGTAGCTGTTATTGTTGCTGTTATATAAGCCAATCAGAGACGGAGGTACTGAGAGGCACTGACAAAACTAGTCGCGGAATTAGGACGATTTCAGAAGGTATATCGGGGTTCGAGGGAAGTGAGGAGCGCAGGGGAGTCCTATGCTTTTCTTATGGGACTAAAGCCTGCTCCCAATTTGAAAAAATTAAATTCTATTGAAATTATTTGCGATAAACATTATCTATATGGCAAATAAATCTACTCATATGCACATAGCATACATATTGACTAATTAACAACATAAAAATATCATATTTAAGTAGTTTTAAATTATATTTAATGAACGCATAAAGACTATGTAGATGTGGCAACAGCGCTAATAATTGACTAGCAGTTGTACACACTGCGAACCTACAGACCTCGGACATCGGAGATATTGCGCGTCAAATTCGGGTAAAGATGCGTACGCGTTCAAAAATGTATTGTGTGTAAACTATGTACAATATAATTATTATATATAGCAAATATATCGTATTATCCTCGCGAAGATTTGTATCCTTTATTTAAAATCCGTAAATCATGTGAACTGGTAAAACAACGAGAATTATGTTAATTTAGTTCTAAAGAAATGAAATGACACTCGCGCCCATCTCTCGTCCAAGTCAAAGAAAATGTTGGATGCAATTTTGAAGGTTCTGTGATAGAAATTACATTATTACTCACTGTTCGTGTTTTTCATCTCTATTTTAGTAATGTTACAAAAGTTTTGCAACTATAACTAATTTTTTAGATATAAAGTTTGCTGAGAAATATTTATGTTCCTTTGTTATTCCGTACAAATGCTTTTATCTCAAGTATTACTAATTATATTAATCAAGTAAAGAAAACTTTATGTAACCCTAAATATTGCTGGGTAATGATTACGATGTTTTTATAAACCATTAAATATATTAAAAGGATTTATCAACTGTATTTTTTATTCCAATAAATATATCACAGCTTCCTAGTCTTTTTTAATTAATCTAGTTTTTTAAAAACATTACAAAAAATCATCTGTTGTGGATAATTTATTGTTGATAACAATGTACATGGGATTTAGGAAAAATGTATATGTTTGAAATCAATTTAGTTTTTATCAAGCCTTTCAAATATATTCGGTCCTTGCTGTCAGCTGATTGCGACGTTGCCACATTAATCCTCAAGTCAGACAGAAATGCTGAGAATCTGTTTCTAATTAATACAGCTGTACTATGTTCAAAACTTACATTAGTTTTACATCAAAAATAAGATAACACTGTGTACTATCTATGGAAAAGTTTTGTTTCACAATTTCTACAATTTTTTCTCAGTTATGGGCAAAAAAAGAGCCGCGCGTCCATCTTCGCCATATAAACCTATGTTAAAATGAACAACTTTCAACAACAATGTCTCAAAATCTAGATTAAAAAAAAATTTCAGAAAAGTATGACGCACAGATGGAGCACTGGGTAATACGCTATATAAATTTCAAGTACATCTGTGCATTTGAGTAAACCCGATATACCTCCTTAGTTATTCTCGGTATTGAATATGTCAATTTAATTTTATTTAATTTTAAGAAGCAACGATTAGCTAAGTAAAATTTTTCAGAAATGGAATAATAATGATATTTACCACCTGAACTGGATTTTCTATTCAAATGTATATTATACAGGGTATTACTTTAAGTGGGAGTCAGTATTTTAGGGGTAATATTACGTGTTCCTCTGAATACGAATCTGAAATTATTATGTTTTTAATCAAATAAATAGTTAGTTTTTTAAAATACACTTTAATTCTTGTGTACGCCACTAACCGGCGCAAACCAAGGCACCTGGAATTTGTGTGTGAAATTGTATTAGTGCACAATCAATGTTGCCGAATGTTTTTAAATCAATTTACATTGTGGGCAGTGACCATAGACCAATGGTCTGTGGCTGAAATAATGACAAATAAATTAGTAAAACAGATTGCATTTGTATAACTTGGCAGAGTCACCATATTTTTTTGATAACACTATGATCGAATCGCTGAACATTGAACACAAAACATTCTCTCGTTTCTAAAAAAACAAAAATTTTTACATGATTAAGTAAATATAAACTAATATTGGTATATAGAGGTATGTTACTAATTGTAAACATATTTTTAAATGAACTGTTAGACGACAAAACTAATTAAAAATAATTTTTGTGAAAGCAGATTCATTTAATATTACAGCGACTTGTTATTTTAGTCACCATATTGTCTTTTAAGTTAATATGGACGAAGTACTAAAGTAAGTAATTCACTAAAAGACCTCTGGTCTGGTGCGTTATGTTTTTGAAGGTTGATAAGCCGACTGTCCTCGCACCTGATGCAAAACAGGAATGGCCGAAAATTGCAGTTTCATTTGGTTACAAAATATCTGTTTGGTCTTCGACTTTATTGGTAGTATAACTCATTCCGATCTCAATTGAAGAACCAAGAGGTTGGCAGTATGTACCAAGTTCGCTCGCTGATGCAGCAACTCGGCATTGAAATATTTGAAAAGTTTGTTCCCATATTTATTTAGTCATACCCATATACAGGTCTGGTCGAACGTGGTAGAAATGTATACGCCCAGTTGAAGGATCAGTGTACACAGACAGCCGAACTGGGCGACTGGACAATATATCTTAGCTGTTGACAAGTCGCCGACAAATTGCCTAGCAGTGCAGTGCAGCAATGCCGAATTTGGTGTGATTCAGGTCAATTTAATTTATTATAGGCACCTTCTATTAATCATTGATATTATAATTGTGAAAGCGAGAAATAAGAGGGATATTTTGTTTACTAATTTTATTACAACAAGGCATTTTGAAGACTTTTAAAATTTACAATATCTTGTTGGCCAAATGAATTATTATAATTTCTTACCTTTAACAGAAAACTTTTTTAGGGACGCCTATGAACCTCATTAAATTTTATTGCTATGCGATATTCAACATGTTCAACTGACTTCGGAAAGACTTTACATAAAGTGCATTTATATGGTGTAAGTGTATAATCTTATAAAGTTATTTATTTCAGTGTTCAGTGAGGATACAGTATAATTTTGTTTTTTAATATCATGTTTTTGTACATTATGAAATGGAATGGAATCTAGAAAGAATTGATATGGTTAGAGCCTACTTTTTGTCAGGAGCAAAGAAGACGATATCAAGTAGATTACACCGACTTATAAGTGCCGAATAAGAAAATGTTTGTCAGATTATATAAATTTTTAAATAAATAAATTTAATAAATTTAATATAGTTTATAAGTTTAATAAATTTCAACATTTAAGGGACTATGGGATCTTTGAGCCAGAAATTTTAAACGCCGTGGAAGAGGATCCTGGTACCAGTACTCGAAGATTTGCCGCAAAATGTGTTATATATAAGATTTGACAAAAATGCACAGCCCAGTTCTCAATTGTGCATGCTCTGCGACAAAAGCGCGCCGTGGTTTGAACTTGCACTAGCTTGTCCGAAATTACGAGGAAAGGGATAAAGAAATAAGTTTTCACGACGGAATTTGAAAAAATAAACTATTGATACGTGTTTCTAAAGGTCAACGGAAGCCTCTGTATAAATATGACCCCCACTCAAAGTTACACCCTGTATAAATTACGTAATTTTTTATAAATTAATCCACGTAACCATTAATTTCTGATTGATTTTAGGACATACGAAAAGCTTGGTTTGGATTATTACAAGTAAGTATTATATACTTAATTCCTGTACTATCGCCATAAATATTAAACGAATGTTATTGCAACGAATATTATAACCCCGTCGAGTATAGATATCATTAAAAAAATAACCAATTATATATAACTATACCATTATTTATTATATTTTAATATCGATAGTATCCAAAAAATGGAAATAAAAAAAATGTACACAAACTGGCGTATATTTTTAATTCCTTCAACATTTGCTTCTTAATTAATTATTCCTAATTTTATTGTTCGCGATTTCTATTTATTTATTCTATTATTTATACCGTGAAACACCATCGACACAAGTACTGTAATGTCAGCGAGTGGCAACCTAAATGAATACAAAGTGATCACTTAGAACTTTTCTAAACAGCTTTTCCAATATTACCTTCTCAAAGAAAATAATTAGAACTAATATTTTGATACTTATGTTCGATATTAACAGTATCACGACCATTATTTATATTTTCATTAATTTCTCAGTAGGTATGTGCAGTTAGTCATGAATCACCATGTTTAATTTTATCTAGCTACTTTAAACTGGTTTACTCTCCAAAAAGTCCAGCCACAGAAGAGATCGTAAAGATATTCTCTGAAATGTTCAAAACTATCGAAGGACTAGAAGATTCGGAAGCACTAGAAACATTTTTTAAAAGCGAAGAAGTTTTCTCTGCCTTTGCAGCTATCCAATTCGACGACAGTTTTAAAAGTCGCACAGATGTTTCTAACATCAAAAATTTTGAAGTTTCTATAAGGTAAGGCAAACAAACTCTTTCAGGATTTGAACTAAAAAAAATTGAGGGCAACAAAATGAAAATTGAATAAGTGAATTTATTTTGTAAATGTTATTTCTAAGAAAAATTAGTGTTTTGTACTTTATTCGAAAAGTAAGGCATTTTCGAGTAATTACGAAGGTATAACACCAGCAGATAATTAATTGATAGAGAAAGCTTTTTTTTACATTTGGAATAATTAAGAATTCCTACGTCAATGACTCTTTACTTTTGATTATCATTCTGTATATAAAATTAGAATGAAAAAAATCGAGATACAAGTTCTAAACAATGGTAATGGGGGAGTAAAATTTAGTTCTCATAAAAATCGCAAAAGAATTTGTACAAAAACCAACATACCATAATGAGAAAAAATGGATATGAGAAACACGATTTATAATTTTCATAAAATGAAAGGATGTCGAGTTACTCTGACAAGAAAATTTAAGTGAAAAATACATTGTTTCGGGAAAACATATCTCCCTGTATACCATTGTTAAAAAACTTGGATTCGGGTGAAGGAAAACTAAGAACAGTCGGAGGGTGCTAATAGAGAATACTGATATGCGTGCTATAAGGTTGAATTATCTGGACAAAATTAAGTATTATAGAAGCCAAGGTGGGACAGTGTTCTTTTAGATGAAACTTGCATTTACGTTGACCATACTAGTTCCAACATTTGGACAGACTATAAACCATATCTTAAGGTCGGTGCTGGTGATGAAATGAGTTTTATCCCTAACTGTCCATTGATTTTTAAATCTGGGTCCTAGTCCAGTCATTATAGACACGGAACAGCCTGTTTCGGGAAAAAAATAGTTGTTGTTCTGCGGAATAATGTTCGGAAATGTGTTATAAATAAAATATCAAAAAATCAATTCGAGACTAGTTGGGAAACTTTATTTAAACAATGGTCAAAGTCATGGAAAAGTGGTTTTTTAACTCGCGTAAAAAAACTATTATTCATAGCGAAAAGAGGTTTATACAAAAAAAGTAGGTATTAAATAAACCTTTAAAATGAGAAGTCCGATTAAATTCGGATAATTTGTTTATGCGCAAGAGCTCAAAAATGGTCGAAAATGGTCGTTTTTTTTCAAGTGCTAATAATTAGTGCAATTTTCATGGTAGACACTTGTAATTCAGGATTTTTGAAGCTTTTTACACCCTTAATAAGTGATAAAAATTTCAGCCCGAAAGCTTCATTGGTTTGGCGTTGGCGGAATTTGTTATCTAAGAAGATGCTATTTTCAATTCATTTTTCCCAAGCTCACAGGCATTGTAGAGTTTCGATCATTAGTTGTTTTTGTACCTAAATAGTTGTATTGACATATGCATTTACTGAGAATTTAGTTTTCCAAATTTAATTTGTAAAAATGACTGAAAAAATGTTAATATTTATTAAATTGTTAAGATAGGTAATTATTATAAAATAAAATAGTAACCTGTATACTTTAATTTTCTTCGAATTAAAAAAAAATCGTTGTTGTAAGTTGATTAGAAGCTGAGATAATTTTTTTTTTATTTAATCGCAGTGACCTTAATTATTAATATTAACAGCCCAAATTTGGAAAGAGTATACATTAAGAGCTATATTTTCATATCCTACATTAACATTAAGGTGAATTCAACTATTTAATTGCGAAAAAGAAGATAGCGGCGATGCGTTCTATTACTTGGTCTAGCGGACGAGTGGGGAGAGCGAGGCGGAGCATGCACGCTTAACAATTTAATAAATATTAACATTTTTTCAGTCATTTTTAAACAAATTAAATTTGAAAAATTAAATTATCAGTAAATGCATATGTCAATACAACTATTTAGGTACAAAAACAATTAATGATTGAAACCCTACAACGCCTGTAAGCTTGGGAAAAATGAATTGAAAATAGCATCTTCTTAGATAATAAATTCCGCCAACGCCAAGCTAATGAGCTTTTGGGCTGAAATTTTTACCACTTATTAAGGGTGCAAAAAGCCTCAAATATCCTGAATTACAAGTGTCTGCAATGAAAATTGCATTAATTATTAGCAATTGAAAAAAGCGGACATTTTCGCCCATTTTTGAGCTCTTGCGCATAAACAAATTATCCGAATTTAATCGGACTTGTCTCATTTTAAAGGTTTATTTAATACCTACCTTTTTTGTATAAACCTTTTTACTCCATGAATAACAGTTTTTTTACGCGAGTCAAAAAAACACTTTTCCATAATTTTAACCATTGTTTTAACAAAGTTTCCCAACTAGTCTCGAGTTGATTTTTTGATATTTTGTTTATAACACATTTCCGAACAATATTCCGCAGAAAAACTTCTAATATAGTGTTTTTTTCCCGAAAAAAAGCTATAATGACTGGCCTATCCAAATCTGGAGATAACCAGGACAACATGGACTCGCAAAATTATGAGAAGTGGCCCACAGAGAAGTTGGTTCCAAATCTCTCCTCGAATACTGCGTAGAACATATAATTAATATGTTTTTGACAAAAGCATTACAAATCAAAAGCCAAATTTTAAATTTTAATTTAACTTTTTGGGATCGCTGAATACACTGTAACTACGCGGTGTTACACAGAAAACGTAAACTGTAATTTTATGAAATGGATAGAAAATATTTAAATACATGAGTATGTTTTTAGAAGAAAATGTACACGGCATCTTCTTATAATGGCCATTCCTATCTAACTTCAAGGCAGACACATTAAAAAAATGTGCAATTTGTACAGCTTTTGCCATATTTTATTAAAATGTCTTACGTTTACATGTTAAATTTGCCATATATCCTTGATATTTGTAACAAATGTAGGTATCTAATGAACGATAGAAATTCCGTTTAAGGTTTCCCTCTGATCTCAGAAGAACATATAATAGAACAAATCCAACTTCTGTAGAGACAAACTGGGCAACAAATTTAGTTTTTCCCAATATTGAGCCACAAGGACCTCGATTGTTTGAAATCACTACTGGCGGTACTCCAAGTAAGAATCCGTTGTTATTAATAACCACATTATAGTTAATAAACCCAACCAATATCGGTAACAATTGCTAGATATCGTCTGCAAACATCCTTTGGAAAATTTTATGTACAGGGTGTCCGGTATGTACCTAATAATTTCCCGAAATCAATAGGTGAGAACAAAATAACACCAATGCTCCTTATAATTGTTTTCTATATGTTTGCTCCTAAATGAGATATGGGACTCCAAAGAGGTACCTAGAAATTTAAGTTTTGGATTGTAACTTTGAAACTAGCTTGTATATTTTAACACATAATTGTATAATTTAAATATTTAATTTTTGAAAAATAAATCTGGTTTTAATGACAAAGTAAAATTCATAATACAGTACAAAATTTAAAATGTAGGCAAATAGTGTAATTAAAAGTGTTCAATTTGTAAATTGTATAGTTTGTAAACTGTAAATAAATCGGTCTGAGTGATTTCTTAAAACTTTTCTTGACTAAATACAAAGAAATAAATTAATAAATTTTTTGCAACTTAAAAAACAAAATTTTATTGGTCTTTAACCAAATCTGAACACAAAGTAAAAAACAGCACGGCAAAAACATTATTTTACAAATTCAATTAAAACAAAGATAGTCCGTGTCTAGTCTGAGGGAGGGCTTCTTAATTTTCTGATTCCAGAACTACACGCTCTTTCATCCTAAATATATTCAAAATATGTATCTCGTAAATTTTTTTCTCCATCAACTGTTAAAGTTAATTCGTTTAAAAAGGGAACACCTTGCTAATGAAAGGTCATTTAAAAAAAGACTAACCTATAATTTACAACTAACCGAATCATTTCAGGGCTAATTGTAAGATCAGTTTACTTAAATTGAATATCTTTTATATCAGGAATCTCCTACTATTTACTTGTTTCTTAATTTGATAAGTACCTACCATAGTCTTTAAATTTTTCTTTCATATTTTTCAACATCCTGATTTACTTTCATCTGATATGTATTTTCAGACTACCATGACGAGGGATTTTTGGCCATTCAACACTTTCTTGCAATCGCCCTAATATCCGCCAAGGAAAAAACTGATCCCAAAGAACTTTTGAGCAAAAATAAATTTCCGTTAATAAGCATGAGGCGGTATCCGCATCCAGATTGGATACAGGATGATTTAGGACATGGTTTATCATTCTTCATAATCCTCGTGTTAGTGATGTGTTTTGGACAACCCCTTACTAATATGATTAAATACATTACCCTCGAAAAAGAAAAACAACTTAAAGTAAGTTATAAACACAGACAATATAGCTTCGCCTCAGACCGCTACTGGAATGGGACAGCAGTTTTAAATTTCCGAATTGCCGATAGAGAATTTTACGAAGAATCAAATGCACTGGTCCGGTCCGTATTCCTACGTGTATGCTAGCAACATACAGGGTGTACCATTGAAAACTTTGCACCCGGCTTATTTTGAACTACGTTCCAAAATATTAAAATTGCCGCGACACGTCCATTTTGTTTTCGAGGGGGACACATTTTAGCGTTACATACAGACTCGCCAGAACAACCCCTTTCGCGGGGGCGCATTCAACTTGAGAATCTTAAATGGCACTCTAGGTCGAGTGACACCTCATTCGAAAGTGGTTTTAATTCTGGTTGTAATCGTGTAATTTTTTTTCAATTTTAGTTCATCTGTTGTTGAAAAAAAATTACTTATGCTTAGAAATAAGAAAGACAATTTTGTATTAATCATTTAATTAATTGTTCAAAATGCCAAAGGGAAAACTAACGAACGTTCAAATAAAAACCTGGTCAAGTTGGTTCTGAAAATTTGGACGTAGGGCGTAGCGTATAGCAAATGAACTTAAACGTCATCTGTCAAAGCGCTACATCGCCGCTATCAATTTGAATATATTTTCGTTTTAAAAAGCGTTTAAAATGGTGTTTTCTCGAGAACAAAAAGTGTTTAATAGAGTCCTACTTTAGAAATGGACGCAAGATTGATGGAATATGGAAGTATTCTATTGAGGAATGTTTCATAGAATTTCAAAATCAATTTCCCGGCGTTGTTGAGTACAAAATTTTTCAAAGTGCAGTTCAGCGTTGTGTTAATGTTTTTCGTGAAACGGGCAGTGTAACAAGAAAAGAAGGAAGCGGCCGACCTAAAAAGCGGACTGAAGAATTAAAAGAAAATGTCCAACAAATAATGGAAAATGCGCCAAGAACTTCTGTACGTGTTTTATCACAAATGGTGGGAGTATCAGTCGGTACCTGCCACACAGTGTTAAAAAAAGATTTGCGTTTGTTCTCCTATCGTTTAACTTGTCAGCAAGAACTTCATGAAGTTGATTTTCCGCGACGGGCTGTATTTTGTGAATGGTTTTTAAACAACTACGGTGAACTTCATAATATCACCTTTTTTTCTGATGAAGCCTGGTTTCATTTAAGTGGTTACGTAAACTCACAGAATATGAGAATGTGGTCTTCTGAAAAACCAGATAACTTTTTTGTCGAGGGCCCTCTACACGCTCAAAAAATTGGAGTTTGGTGTGCTCTCAATCGAAGGAGGATTTATGGACCTATTTTTTTTAATGGTACTCTTACTGCGCAAAGGTATAGAGAAGAAATTATCGCTCCTTTTGTTAACCAGCTGGAAGAAAACGAAATTACAAACTTTTACTTTCAACAAGATGGCGCAAGGGCACATACGGCAGGCGAGACGATGAATATGTTGAGGGAAGTTTTCCAAAATCGACTAATAAGTCTCAATGCTGAACATGAATTTCCACCGAGGTCATGTGATATTACGCCGTGTGATTTCTTTTTGTGGCCTTACCTTAAAAACACTATTTTTGAACTGCCTATTCCTGATTTAAACCATCTGCAGGCTCGACTTATAGACAAGATTCGTGAAATTAACAATACCCCGAGCATCTTAGAAAATGTCTTTAATTCTTTGAGGAACAGGTGTGAAAAGTGCTTGGAACAAGGAGGGGGACACTTTCAGCAGCTGCTTTAATTTATTGTTATAACAAGGAGGGGGACACTTTCCGCAGCTCCTTTAATTGTTTGTTATTGTTATCACGATTATTCTTTAAAATAAAGTTATATAGTCATTAACGTTATTGAAACTGACAGCTGCTATACAGCTCGTTGAGAAATGAGGTTAAGTTGGTCGCTATAAGCTACTCCCTACGTCCAATGTGTCAGAGCCAACTTCGACCACGTTTTTATTTGAACGCTCGTTATAAAAAGTTTCAATTTATTTTCACTGGAAAAACTGTTTACAAATAAAAGGTATTTTGAATAATGAAAAAAAAATTGGTCATCATCATTTAATTAATTGTTCAAAATGTACGCCTCCCACTTCCATGCAACAATAAAAACGTTAAGAATTTCGGGGGTAATTAGGTGGCATTCTTCAATGATACGCCGCCTGAGTTCTTCTAGAGACTGCTGCTGAGTGGTACAAATTTTAGACTTTAACTGTCTCCATAAAAAGAAATCGAGTAGTGTCAGATCAGATGATCTGGGTGGCCACTCAATAGGTCCGCGGCGACCTATCCATTGATTTGGAAAATTTTCATCTAAAAACTGTCGAACTGCAACTGTAAAATGTGGAGGTGCGTCATCTTGTTGCAACCAAACATTGTCTTCTAAAATGTTGTCATCATTTTCCATAGTTTCAACAATCACTGGATAAATGTAGTTACTCAAAAGCTCAAGGTACATATCCCCATTAAGATTTCCTGGCAGAAAAAATGGCAGTCTAATAATCTTATTTCCGAGAATTCCTGCCCACACATTAAGTTTTTCCGGATGTTGAGTGTGTTCCTCTCTAAATAATGTCGGATTGGTGTCACTCCAATAACGGCAGTTATGACGATTAATCAAGTCATTCAGATAAAAAGTGCATTCGTCGGAAAAACATTGAATATAAAAAATTTTGATCGTTTGCCATTCGGTAAGTCATCTCTTCTGCAGATTGCAAACGACGGTCTGGATCGTTTTCATTCAGTGCTTGAACTAATTGTAGTTTATAAGGGTAGTATTTATAAGCTTTTAAAATGCGTTGACAACTCCCGAAATTTGAGATAGCTTACGGATGCTCAAATTATGATCCGCTTCCACGTGACCAAGAACGGAAATTTCGGTAGCCTCGTTTCTAACAGGGTTTCGAAATTGTCGTTTTTTATTTTCCACTGATCCTGTTTCACAGAACTTTTGAACCAAACTGGCGACGTAAACATCGGAGGTGTGTTTATTTGGGTGACGCTGATTAAAAATTCTTACCGTAAGCCGTGCATTATCATTGTTTTTAAAATAGAGAGAAATTATTTCAACCCTTTCGTCTTTCAAATAAGTCATTTTTAGAATTAATAATTACTAAACACACTTCTGCTAAACACTTTTTTTGAATTAAATAATTAATTACTTAAATTCATAGTTTTAATTCCAACTTGATTTATTTTATTTAGCATTAACACAAATGTCATTTCCAAACAAAAGATAAGTTTTTTATAACTCTTTAATTGCATAATTAAATGCATTTGGCAGTTATTATTTGGCAACAAAGCCACTGTTAGAACTGCCTCCTGTTAGCGAGTAGAAGAGTTACCACGCCAAATTTTATTGCTCGACGCCGGCTAAGGAGACCCTGCATCCATTTTAGGCTGCCAGTTTCCAGCATTTAAAGCGCGGTCTGTGGCGATAAGCTATATTGTCTGTGTTATAAGTAAGTTACATTATAATATTAGAAGAAGTAATGATGATAATGATAAGGATATTGTCAATGACAACGATAAAGATAATGATAATTAATATCAAATGATAATATCAACTATACAGGGTGGCCAAATGAAAACGATACACACCCATTTTCAGGAACTGCGTCAAGATTATAGAAAAACACTCAGACCCGCCGATTTTACATTAAAAGGGGACGGATTTGTCAAAGGCCGCTCCACCCTAACAAACCTTGTTCATTGCATAAACGATTGGACCCTCGCTCTTACCAACAGTGATCCTGTTGATGTGATTTATCTCGACTTTTCGAAAGTCTTTGACAGGGTACCAATGAGAAGACTTTTATACAAACTGTGGGCATTCGGGGTACTTTAAACCAATGGAGCGAAGGCTTTTTAACAGACAGATATTTTAGAGTTAGAGTAGGTGATTCTTTTTCCCACGACAGACCAGTTCTTAGTGGCATACCGCAGGGCTCAGTGACATACAATATCACGTCGTCAACAAATTATCTTTTTTTGCAGACGACACTAAATTATATTCCAATCCTCTGAGTGACCATTTGTCCTTAAAACAAGACTTAATATCTATTGCTAATTGGTGTGAAGAATATTGGTATTTTAGTATAAAATACAATGGGCTGGAATTTTCGGTGACCGGCTGTTGGGTCCTTTTTTTCTACCTGGTAATTTGACTGGCCAAATGTATTTGCAATTACTGGAAGACGCTATTGACCCTGCCTTGACTGATATTATTGAAAATGTTCCAGAGTATGATGAAGATCATTTGATTTTTCTACAGGACGACGCTTCTCCGCATTATGCGTTAATTGTCCGTCAGTATTTGGACCAACGTTTTCTACGGAATTGGATTTATCGCCCTTTGATTTCTTTTTGTGGGATAACTAAAAAGTAAAATCTATAAAACACAGCCAGCGTCACTGGAAGATTTGCGTAAAAGAATTATCGACGAATGCCGTCGAATCACTCCGGAAATGCTTCGGAATGTGCGCGAACGTTTTGGACAAAATCTTTATTCTTGTATGGAAGCGGGCGGTCATCAGTTTGAACATTTAATCAACTACGTAGTAAGTAAGCAACTAAACATAATTTAAATTTTAAAATGTACATTTTTTTCAAAGTATTGGGCGGAATCATAAAATTTAAAGTCTGTTGTAAAGAGAATTGTAAGAGTTTCCAAAAGAAATAGTAGTCAACCCCCAATGCCATTTAAATATTTTGGGTGATGCTTACCCTTGCTTGGGGGTGAAAGTGGCGAGTCAAAAATACCAGCAAAGAATGTCCCCCTTTAATCTAAAATCGACGGGTGTGAGCGTTTTTCTACAATCTTGACGCAGTTTCTGAAAATGGCTCTGTTTCGTTTTCATTTGGCCACCCTGTATTTAGATGCATCAATTTTAGTTTTTTTTTTGGAAAATTATCCCATCGGGTAATTGTTTCCCACAATATCAGTAGTTAGAATTCTTATCTGTGGATTAGATATCTTTTTCCATTTCTGGTTCTGAAGAACATTATTTGACTTTATTTAACAAAATTATTTAGAAAAACAACTATCTTTATCCGTTTGAACTAGTTTAGAATAGAGTAAAAGTTGCGAGGGCGAATATTAGAATATTATGTATATGTTTTTTTAAATACAGGGTGTTTCGCATAAGGGATGATGCACCATTAAAATATGACAGAATTTTTTTAACCCGTTGGCGAACTTAAAAAATTATTACTTTATTTTATGGGGAATTTAATACTAAAACTTTTCTTACTCTCGTTAGTTTTCAAAAAACTTCGACAAAAAACGAATAACTAATAATACCTACGTATTGTAGCTGTGTTATTTAAAATCACGGAAAATTCAAAAGTTGTCTATGAATTGGATATGAATTTAAAGTATTGTCTACACCTCCGTTTCCTACTGAATTTATGTTGCGCGTTTTTTTTGAAGCCGCGGCTATTGAGACTCCTGGGAAGGCGTAGAACTTCGTATTGCTTTTTTTTTGTAAAAAAAAATCACAAAAATTTTCGAAGATGGTTTGATACTAAAATAATAATCAGATTTATGGTTTTACCGTGGACCGAGGGTCAGTAGTCGATTCGTATTTCGTATGGTCTGTCACTATCTAACTTAACTGACGATGTCGGCGTTTTTTCGCTGTCTGCGATGATTTTTTGCTTATTTTACATTAAATTTAATGTAAAATCTCTGGTTCGGTGACAGTAGGTATAACTGAGACATTGATTTTTTTCGAAATTTGAAATCTCACTTTCAAGGCTTATAACTTCTCTCTTCTCAGGTGTGCAGCTTACAATTAGTATAAAGGTAAGTTGCGTTAAATCACCATATTTTGGGTTCCCCTACATGCGCTTGCTCTGTGTCGGTTCTCATGCGAAACACCCTGTATATTCTCACTCTCTTGTGATGTTATTACTGAAAATATGTTTCATTTCAAAACTACCATTATGAATAAAAAGTATTTGTATTTGTATTCATTCAACGTTAACATTTTCTAGGAATCAATGAAAATAATGGGCCTACCCAATTGGCTACATTGGGCTGCTTGGTATGTAAAATATTTCATATTTCTTCTGTTAATATCGATATTTGTAATATTACTACTGGCAATAAGGTTCTCCGATACCTCAATTTTCCAGAATTCAAATATAATCGTATTACTGTTATTGTGCATATTTGTTATTTCCTCATGTATCACATTCTGTTTCGCCATCAGCGTCATGTTTAATAAAGGTAAGATATGAATTCAAAAACAAAATTCTATTCTAAGGTGTCTTTCCTTTCTAGCTAACACTGCTTCAGTCCTAGGTAGTTTAATTCTGTTCTTTTCCTTCGTACCCTTCTTGATTATTAAAACAGAATCAGTACTATCTAAACTGTTAATCAGTTTATTACCCTTAAGTGCATTTGGTTTTGCAATAGAAATTGTACTATTTTACGAAGGAATTGGACAAGGTAAGTCAGACCTAAACATACAGTTTATGAAAACAAAATTATGGTTTGCAACTTGACCTAAATCGGTTTATTTTGTAATATGCCCCATTTGTTTCCGGACACCCTATATATCCTCATTGTTGACTGTCGGCTAAATAAAATATGGAGGCCATTTAACTCTGTCTTATTGTGTATGGTTCGTTTTAATTAAAAAAGAACTTTTTGTATTTCTTAGAACATCGTTCTAGTCAAACCAGACAAGTCAATCTGCATCGTTACTAAAGCCTGAGTAGTAGTAAAGTATTTGGAGTTTTTGTTAATTGTCCTAAATCCACAATTTTCAAGAAAACTATCACCAGTAAGGACACAATTATTACAATATTGTTAAGACTGAAATGTAATCAATGAAAAAGTGACTGACCAGGAAATCAATCTTATTCCGTAAATTGTTTTTTTAATTTTGGAAGACTACAGTAAGAAGCTTTATATAAGTCAAGATTGATGGGAAGTCCGAAAATATTAGCTTTAACTGTTCTTGCTGTTAAAATAACTTGAATCGAAAAGATGATTAAAAATGCAACTGCAGAATTTCACTGTTAATTCAAAGGTTGATTAAAGTGTGATAAAAGTAATAAATTTTATCATTGGTTCTTATAATTTGTGTTACATAAAAGAATAGAAAAAATCTCAATAACCCTTCTGGAACCAAATCGAATATAATCCGGAATTTTCTAAAAAACGTCAATATAAAAATGTAAAAAAAAAATTCTGAAATGAGTATAAAAATTAAGGGGCGATAGAATATTAAAGAATGATACATTTTCTATGGATCAACAGTCGCCTTTTGTCTTTAAGATAAGGGCAGATGATTTTGTTTAAATTCTAATTAATTTTAATGACGATATATGACATTGAAATTCAGTACAGATAAGTGAGTCAGTGGTATTAGAGTTTGACCATCTGGTAGAATCCATTAGTTGAACAATTAGAAGTATTTTTTTTATTTCCACAAACTCTTGAAATCTATGAAACATTATGGCAACTTTTCACAGAGAATTTCGCCGTGATCTGAAATATTTGTTTCAATTTTGTAATTCCGTGAAATCATCATCATTTTCTTTCCCTTGTTACCCCGTAATGAATTTTATGCTGAATAAACAGAGCACTTTTAAGTTTTTCAATGGTGTTTCATAAGCACGAGAAAATTGAATAACGTGCCAAAAGAATATAGAAAAACGGAAAATTGTAAAGGTGATGATGATTTCTCGGGGACAAAAATCTAACTCCACAGTGAAATTCTTGCGAAAATGGTTGAAACAGTTTCCGAAATACATGTTTCACCACGAAGTAACAACTTGTATAGTTTTATTATTAGCTTTGTAAGGTAAAAATGCACAAATAATGCTCTCCGTTAGTAGTGGGAATGCTACTGATGGTCAAAAGTGTTCCATAACGGCAAATTAGGTCAAAGCACTGATACATAGAGATGGTTTCAGGTATTCAATGGGCGACAGTATTTCAGCCGTACAGGCCATCTGAATCGATATCACTGGGACTGATAATGGTAATGCTCACTGTTGATACAGTCCTTTATATGCTTATTGCCATATATGTGGAGGCGGTTTTTCCTGGGGAGTACGGGGTGCCCAAGCCATGGTATTTCTTGTGTACGTGTAGTTATTGGCACCTTCACAAACGTAAGTATATACTACGACCTTTACCGACACACAGCAGATCCAACGCCGCTATCAGCGGTCAAAAGTAAAAGATTCTAAAACTGTGCTATACAGGGTTTATCTAAATAACACCGAAAAAAATCAAGGGGCGATTCTCCGATGAAAATTAATAGGGGTCTTTGGTATAAAATTTTTTGAAAAAATCCTCCCCTGAAAAGTTACGACCCTCCTAAAATTACAAAAAAAAATTGTTTTTCTTTTTTATCTTCCACGTACATCAAGCTAAAGAAAGCAAACTTGGTGAACATTATCTGTCAATAAAACTACACTTTTTGAATTTTTTTCAACCCTGAACTATTTTTGTAAGGGGTTGAAATAATCAACCCCTATGACATTTTTTCTTATAATTTTTTTTTCGATAAAATTTTTTCCTTTTAAAAAATATGTCTAAAAAACCCCATTCATTTACTAACTTTTTGATCTCTTCAAGTTTCTTCGAAAAGTTAAGGATTTATGACAAAAAAAAATAAATGTATTGTAATGTATTTTTAAAAAGATGAGCTGTTTAACGCGAGTGTATTTTGCCGAAAGATCTAGTGGCCTGTTCTTTACAATGGAATCCGTAGAAACAAATGTCAATGTCATTTATTGTTACTGTTTCTTACTATTTCACAAGTTTCATGATTTTGTGTAGAAAATATTAGTTAATAAACCGAAAATATGGTTAACTATTCGAATTTAGAAATGGCAGATATGCATTTTACATATGGGTATGCTAACGGTAATGCATTGGAAGCGCAAAGACTTTATGCTGAACAGTACCCAGAGCGTAGATTACCCCACCATACTACGTTCACAAATATTCACCAACGCTTGCGGGAACTTGGAAAATTTGAAAAGAGAAGTCATGACTGTGGCCGTAGCCGAGAAGTTAGAACTGAAGCTGTCGATGAAGCCGTACTTAATTTAATTGAGGAATCCCCAGAAACTAGTACCAGGAAAATAGCTCGTGTCCTAAATGTAAGCCATTCGGTAGTTTTTAGAATTTTAAAAGAACAACAGTTATATCCCTATCATCTCCAACGGGTGCAGTCGTTACTGATTCGAGATTTTTTACCACGTGTGGTTTTTTGTCAATGGCTTATTAATATGATCGGCCAAGCGCCGCAGTTCTTAAGAAATATTTTATTTACTGACGAGGCGAATTTCTCAAGAGACTGTATTAGAAATTTTCGTAACAATCATATTTGGGCTGAGGAAAATCCTCATGACTTTTTTGAAGGAAATCATCAGTATCAATTTTCATTAAATGTGTGGCTCGGAATTATCGACGATCATTTAATTGGTCCCTATTTTCTTCCACGACGATTAGATGGTGACTCATATTGTCATCTTCTCGAAGAATTACCTATTATTCTTGAAGAAGTTCCCATTCAAATTAGGCAACGTTTATGGTTTATGCACGACGGTGCACCAGCCCACTTTAGTATACGTGCAAGACGTCACTTGGATGAGGTGTATGCCAATCGATGGATAGGTCGAGGAGGATATGTAAATTGGCCAGCCCGCTCCCCTGACCTTAATCCTTTGGATTTTTGCATATGGGGATATCTGAAATCTTTGATCTACTCAAGGCCAGTTGAAGATATCAATGATTTGCGAAACCGCATTGTAGCAGGGTGTGAAACGATAAAAAATTCACCAGGAATATTTGAACGCATACGCAATTCTATGAGAACAAGAGTAGATGCTTGTATTGAAGCTGAAGGCAATCATTTTCAACATTTTTTGTAGATTGTATTGTCAATATCCGACAGATTTTTATTTTTTGTTACTGTTATAACATTATTCATCATTTGTTCACTTTTAGTCTAAGTTCCAAACTTCTTAGCCTAGTAGAATCATAGGTCAACTATTTGGTTGAGTGTTTTTTAATAAAATGTTATTTAATATGACAATAAATGACATTGACATTTGTTTCTACGGATTCCATTGTAAAGAACAGGCCACTAGATCTTTCGGCAAAATACACTCGCGTTAAACAGCTCATCTTTTTAAAAATACATTACAATACATTTATTTTTTTTTGTCATAAATCCTTAACTTTTCGAAGAAACTTGAAGAGATCAAAAAGTTAGTAAATGAATGGGGTTTTTTAGACATATTTTTTAAAAGGAAAAAATTTTATCGAAAAAAAAATTATAAGAAAAAATGTCATAGGGGTTGATTATTTCAACCCCTTACAAAAATAGTTCAGGGTTGAAAAAAATTCAAAAAGTGTAGTTTTATTGACAGATAATGTTCACCAAGTTTGGTTTCTTTAGCTTGATGTACGTGGAAGATAAAAAAGAAAAACAATTTTTTTTTGTAATTTTAGGAGGGGCGTAACTTTTCAGGGGAGGGTTTTTTCAAAAAATTTTATTAATTTTCATCGGAGAATCGCCCCTTGAATTTTTTCGGTGTTATTTAGATACACTCTGTATAATAATGCACTATTGGTATAAAACTCGTACATCGTCCAAAGCTTGAAGTTGATTAAAACAATAGAAAATTGTTTTACCAACAAGTAACATTGAATTCATAACCGCCCAAAACATAACCTGTTCAACTTTTAAAATCACAGTACATATAACTTCATCTTGTAGTAAAAATTTAAGAAAATGTTTAAAAATAATTTGGTTTTTTAAATACATTATTTGAAATAAACTAAATGTTACCTACTTGTCTTATTTCACATTTAAATTAACATTCATTAGAGATAATGGTGAGTTCATCTCATCCGAAAAATTTAATATTTTAAAGAAGCGACTTCAAGTGATAATAACTTTTTAGAGGATTCAGATGTGAGCTTAGTTGGAAACCGTGCCAACACCGGAGAATTTTTCGAATCTGAACCACAAAACTTGGCAGTCGGAATACAAATCACAAACCTCAGAAAGGTGTTTCGCAAGAAGGCAGCCGTTGAAGATTTATCTTTAAATATGTACGAGAATCAAATAACAGTCTTGCTGGGACACAACGGTGCTGGCAAAACGACCACCATGTCCATGTTAAGCGGCATGATAACGCCCACTAGCGGCACTGCAAAAGTCAATGGGTTCGATATCCGAACAGAAATAGATGGCGTAAGACAAAGTCTGGGTCTTTGTCCACAGCACAACGTCATCTTTGACGAATTGACTGTAGAGGAACATTTGTACTTCTTTAGTAAACTGAAGGGCCTTAGTAAAGATGAAATTAATGCGGAAATCAACAAGTACGTTAGTCGATTGGAGTTGGAACCTAAGGTAAGAGATTTGTTTAGGACGACACAATCAACTTTAAAAGTGAGATTTCACGTTTTAGAGAAAAGCCCGAGTTTCATCACTGTCAGGTGGGATGAAGCGCAAGCTGTGCATCGCAATAGCACTTTGTGGCTACTCAAAGGTATTGATGTTGGACGAACCCACGGCTGGTATGGATCCTTCAGCTAGGAGAGCCGTGTGGAATCTGTTGTTGAGTGAAAAAGAAGGTAAGTTTTTTGTTCATATGCATACTTGCATAAGGCATAGCGAGGAAAAATAAGTTAGTAGGTAGTTGCAAATTTACTTTTCATAAAGTCAAACTGACAAGGACTGATAGTATTTCTCTTATCATGGTTATAGAAACAGTTTCAAAAGCTTTTATAAATTTGATATTGTAAATGGATTATACGTCATATGTCATATGTATCTCGATTTTTGAATATCGAACGTAGTATCACTACATATTATATTATAAAACAAATTCCTCCACCGCGTCTGTCTGTCTGTTCGCGATAAACTCAAAAACTACTGCACCGATTTTCATGCTGTTTTCACCAATTGGTAGAGTGGTTCTCGAAGAAGGTTTTAGTATATAATTTGTTAAGTTTTTGTATACATTAACGATATTTGTTGGAGGTGTCGGAAAAAGATAAGCCGTCTGGGAGCTTTCAACGAAAACGCTGCCTAAACACTTTGAGATATAACAAAATAATGTATGGTGGAATTTTGTATCTTATAGATGTCTACAGAAAAGTCCGCGATGGCATATGTCTATTTCTTAAGGGTAACATACTATATCCATTTTAATACTTTAGGGCAATTATATACGGTATTAATCCTTATCATTTTAAATACGTTAGTTGGCTTGAGGATTTCATGAAGATTATTTTATCTCTTTACACCATGCAAATTAAATGAATACCTTAGGAGATATAGCAAAATCAAAATAATGCGCAACGAAATTAATTTCGTGTCGCCGTGATTCGACCGGGCTGCGCGGGCGCCCCATGACCCCGCGCCTCGCGTCCGAGCCGGGGGGGTCCGAAAGTTTATGTAGTGTATCAATGTATGGTGGAATTGTGTATCTTATATATGCCTACAGAAAAGTCCGCGATGGCATATGTCTATATGTTAAAGATAACATACTACCTATATCCATTTTAATACTTTAAAAAATTGGCAATTATAAAGCGGTAATGTAAAAGCTATTTACACAAATACGGTATTAATCCTTATCATTTTAAATAAGTTAGAGGCTTTAAGCATTTCATGCACATTATTTTACTCTTTTACACCATATAATTTAAATGAATATCTTAGGAGTAATCGCAAAAAAATTACGGACGCGAGAATAAAATTCAAGCGCCTCGCTTCGCTTGATGCGATCGCCGACCCTCCCCCCGCACCGTCTTGCCTACTGTTTAGCTAATAAGCCGAACGATAACGCGCGCGTGATCCTTTAATAAACTGACTTGGAGCGAATGGAGGTGACGACTGACGACTGTGTTTTCTTTCTGGGTGTTGTTGGAAAGTTATAATTGCGTTCGATATTTTAAGGTCACATTTTTGTTTTGTATTTGTTGTCTTTAGGTAGTCGGAACATACATAGATACTTGCAAACATACTTTTATTTCATTGAGTTTTAATAATTTTTTTTTTTTTTTTCTTATTGTGAATCATTTAAAACTTCATAGTCGCATTTTTGTTTCGTGTTTGTTTTCTTTAGGTAGTTAGATACCTAACTACTTATTAATTAAAATTGGTAGTCCTGAACATAGGTACTTTAATTTAATTCGTTTTATATTCATATTGTTGGTAGTTACCTATATTGTTTTAAATTTAAAGGTTTGGCATTTTTAGTTTTGAGTTCGTTTGTTGTCTTTAGGTATACAGATATATCGCGAATTATTTTAAAATTAATATTAGGGTCGCATTAGATGAAAGATGATTGATTTTTTGTTTGTTACGATTTAACTCAAAAACTACTCAACCAATTGTACAACTAATACATTTGAGGATGAAGGACGAAATGTTATTAGGCCGGTTTGTGATTCTAGTATCGATTTTGATTCTAGGTCTCAATTCTTTAAACATATTTTTTGACTCAATATAACCGTAATAAAATTCTTGTTGCTGTTCATCTTCCTTGAAACTGGGACTGAACCAAGGATGATATTTATTGACATTGATTTTTGACTACATCAATTTAAATTAGTTTGTATTAATTTTAACGTTATTGATCAACACATGATTAATAGCAAGTAGCATATACAAAGCTATACATAGATCTCCAATATTCTAGACTAGAGTTTAAACTGTTGGCAACTTTAAATCTCTTTCATTTAACGAAATGGTGTTAAGTTTTCCAAGGGAGGTCCTTTTATTGATGTCTATATTTCTTAGGCAACTATTGCACACAATAAAAAGAAGACGAGTACATACCAGAGTTTCTAATCTTTTGAATGAGAAAATTTATCGAAGGTATATAAAAATTTGAATATTAGAATTCTTCTCAAAATTGATGCTTGCGTAACATGGTGAAGAGGGCCAACCCCTTGTCAACATTTAAGAGACCACATACAGAACACACATACTAGCTAATAAAGGACAAGCAGTATAACAATTTTGTTGTTTTCATGCTATTTGGGCGAGTCGTACGCAACCTTATACTTTCATGAGCGCATTATTTTATGCTATAATTTCATTATTAAATTACATTTTTATGCTGTAGGATCTAGTAAAAAAAAAAACTGTTTATTTTAGGACGCACAATGTTACTGACCACTCATTTTATGGACGAGGCAGATCTGTTGGGTGATAGGATAGCCATTATGGCGGCAGGAAAATTACAATGCTGCGGATCCAGTTTTTTCCTGAAAAAGAAATTTGGAGCGGGCTATAGCCTCATCATAGACAAATCTCGAGATTGCGATCCAGCCCAAGTTACAGCATTGTTGGGGAAATATGTACCCAACATTGAGGTATTCTTTATTTATTGATTTGTTGCCTTCAGAATAAAACTAAAAATGTAGATAACTAAATTTGCATACGTAGTACCTTCCACAGGTCTCAAAATATCCCCTTTTTTGTCCAGAATTGTGAAAACCTCTTGTGCTCCTTCTTCTCCCTTTCGTAAGTGTTTCTACCGCAAAAATTATTTCTGTCATTATTCTTGCTTCCAAAATTTGTTGTAGTATCTAGAGAAGATCATTTTTTCCAAATTTATGTCTCTGATTTCCATCAAGGAATTCAACATGTCTTCCTCCTCCACTGGCTACGAATACTAAATGCAAATATTTAATCTGTTCATCTATTATATAACTCTCTGCATTGATTGTACCTCTTGAAAGCAGCTTGGTAACGGACTTTTCCAGCATTACATTGAAAATTCCGTCTTAAAGTCTCAATTCATTTCCTTCATAGAGCCCAAGTTTTGCCTCATCTGCGTCCTTACATCCAGTAACAGTCGGCTTGAAGTGTCCTAGTTTCCTTCTCTTCACTATTTCAAACCTACTAATACATTCTTGTTTCTACCTTTTACCTACCAGACCTACCTTTACTCCAACAAAATTCAAAGTATTTTCCAGTCTCGCAATTTTCTCACTTATCTCCATCACTTCGTTTCTTAGCGTTTACTCCTGAATTTTAATGCCTTCTTCTCTAAACGTGGCTGAATCTGTGACATTACACCAATAGGCACTTCTAGATCGTAAATAACCTTCTGAAGCTCATTCCCCATTAGGCAGCTAACAATACCGCTGAACCACCTTATATTTTCCTTTATTTCGACTTGTGTGTTTTTATTGTCTCTCATGAACTTCCGTAGATTTCTCATATCCGTGTCCAGATCTCTAAACTATGTGTGTACTTTGTTCCTGAAAACCAGTTAGTAGTCCAGTCATTGCAGTGCCTGACCATAGCACTTCGCAAAAAGTATTTTGCTGTTTAGTGAAAAAATGGTACATATTTAGTTGTTTTCTTGTAGGTTCGAAGCAACGCAGGTTCCGAACTATCATATATTTTAGAGCAAAACTACAGTTCCCAATTCGAATCCATGCTAAAAGATTTGGAAAATAATTCAAAAAGATTGGGAATCCTGGGTTATGGTATTTCCTTGACTACAATGGAGGACGTATTCATGAAGTGAGTATTTCCAAGAAGATAATTAGATGGAGTTTTAAATTCAGGATACTTGTAAGGAGAGTACAAATTAACTTTACCACCCCTCGTGGATAAATTGTATGAGAAAAATAATATTTCTTCTTTATAAAAGAAATAATGTTGCATGGAATAAATTCAATAATAGTTGATTTTTAGGGTTGGACAGGAAGCAATAACAAGATCAGAAAGTAGTAAACAGAATCTGAACAAAGATCGAAGATGTAAGCAAAATTTTTTATCTTAATTTTTCTCTTTCAAATGTTTAATCGTTCAGCTATTTATTACCTATAAATAACGTATTAAACAGTCTAGCTTTAATAGTAATAAAGAGTTTTCATCCTGTTTGTACATATTGCTTGTGGTGAGAAAATTAAAAAAATTAATAAAATAATCATTTGTTCCAAAATATAGGTTTTATAGACTAAAAGGAGTTGACTCAAATATTTGGCTTTATAACACTATTTTATTTCTCCGCTTTCAATACCGTAAGTGATTTTTTATAGGTTTGGAAGTTTAAGACTGGTTTATATCACATCCTAATAAATGTATTTGCCCTTGTATAAAAACAGTTACAAATAAAGGAAAATTGATAGAAATTGGTGGCAAAAACGGGATTTTGAGGATTAATAGTTTTAAAGGATACAAAGAAATTTATAATTAGTGAATACTTTGAGACCATCATTAACAACATCTCTCCATCCATACACAAACGGCATGGTGAAGAGATTTAGTTTTAGACCCTGAAGAATCACCGTTAACGAACATCAAACTCTTTGTATAGACCTGTCTATCAGCAGTCTATGAAACTACTGGAAGAACATCAATTAGCATAGTCTTCAGCAGAGAGTTGAGGCTACAGTTTGACGTTATTTTTGGCCACCCCGAAAATCGGGCTGTCGTACTGGCAGACTACCCATTCGTATCGCCGTAGATCACACTACTAACATCATTGACATTTTCAAATAAGGAGGCACATTCATTTTTACACTATCACATGTGGGAATTCCACGAAATGAAGAAGCAGACAGCAGCAAACCAATACGAAACAGATCTTGGAATTCCAATCAGAGATAAAGATGTGAATGCTGAAAGCAGAAGGGTATATGATGAAGAGTGGCAAAATATGTGTAGCGATGGAGAAACTTCTTGCCTTAAGATCCATCCCAATGTTACAAAAATGGCAATCTCCATTAAAATTAACTAGAAGAGAACAAACAGTTATCAAACGCATAAGAGTGATATCAGCACATTTCCTAAGGGTCAAAGGACATTTCCACTATGCCCAAACTGTGAAACAGAACTCACAGATATTAATTTTTTCTCTCAAATCAATTTAGATTAGAATATTTACACCATTGTGCAAAAGCAGTCATTAATACATGTAATATAACACCATCTTTTTTAAACCAACAATCAACTTCTGATGGACTTGGTTTTGGCCCATCCATCGGAGGGATACACTCGTGAAAGCTGAGAAATAATAATAATTTTTGTACTATTGANAATATTTACACCATTGTGCAAAAGCAGTCATTAATACATGTAATATAACACCATCTTTTTTAAACCAACAATCAACTTCTGATGGACTTGGTTTTGGCCCATCCATCGGAGGGATACACTCGTGAAAGCTGAGAAATAATAATAATTTTTGTACTATTGATATTAGTAAGACTAAAAGAATCCTTACGAAAAATATCCTGTACTATAATCAACACATTTCCTTAACCATTATATGTCATTAATAAATATTACTATCTCGAATCCAAAGCTACGGAATTGAACAAACGCAAATATGACTTCGAAAACAAAAAATATAACTCTATACACGAACAACGGTACGAGATAGGACTGTCGTTTGTTAAAAAAGATCTCAATATTTAATTCACTGAAACTGGAACCATATTATTTTTCTATTTCAGTGATCACTCAAATGCGTCCCCATTTTACTGGCGGTTTAAACCTCGTGGGCAACCAGTTCCAAGCCATGTTCATGAAGAAGTACCTTACTACATGTCGGTCTTGGCGCCTGTTCCTGACCCAGATAGTCATTGCGATTGTATTCGTTGTCTTACCTGCCATGAACGTTGGAAAAGAAGACGATGGATCATTATCACCAGCTCATTTGGATTTAAGAGCTTTTAGGAATCCGGTAGTATTGGTGGAAGATTTATCAAATTCCATATATCTAGAAACGTATTTGGATTATTTGAAGAGGAACAGTTATAGCTATAAGAATACAGAAAAATTATCGGGAAAAATTTTGGATCTGGTAAGTTTTATAGTAAAAGTGTAATATATATATATATATATATATATACAGGGTAGCCCATCGAAAACGTACCGCAAGGCATTATAGGGTAGTAATGAACTTTTCGGCAAAATCCAAAAACAGGTAAAGTTTGCTTCTGAGGGGGACAACTTTTGGCGCAAAAAGCATAGCAAAATCTTCAACCCCCTAAGTGGGGGTGCCATCCCCCAAATTTTTTTAAATGGGAATGGGGGTCAAGTGGGGGGTCATTAGAAAGGGCTTTTAATTCTCTATACATCGATTCTTACTTTTTGAAAATCGATCCATTATTTTAGAAAATATGCAGCTTTGAAAATACGAACAATATTTTTGACGAGAAATGCGAAAATCGATTTAATTTTACTTCAAAACTTACGGTATTAGCTTGGTAAATTCCTTCAAAAGAATTCGCTGTTTTTTTTTTTGTGATTTGCGAATTCTTTAGCCTGATTTTGGTGAGCAAAAAATTGTCCGCTTTTTGTTTCGTATTTAGATAGGCCACAAGAAGTTGCTAGATAACTGTCTTGTGACTTGTAGTTGAAGAGTACCAATACTGCCGAGTCTTTTAAATTGATTAATTATGGTGTACTCAATTCCAGAAAGAGTAGAAATTATTGAGCTTTTTTTCAAAAACAATGAATGCGGAAATCGGGTCGCCGAACTGTTCAACCAACGGCATCCTGAGAAACATGCGTCTGGAAAAATTGTTCGCGAATTGGTGGCCAAATTTCGCGAAACTGGCTCCGTTCATAACAAAAAGAGGCAGGTTGAAAATCCGGTACTAAATGAACCTACGGAAATAGCGGTATTGGGGCAAGTGGCAATGGATAGTACGCTGAGTACAATGCAATTGGCTACTGCGACAGGAGTGAGTCGTACAAGTGTCCAACGAATATTAAAAAAATACAAATTCCATCCTTATAAGATTCGGCTAGTGCAAGAGCTAAATGAAGACGATTTTGATCGTCGTTTGCAATTTTGCGAAATAATGACTGAACGAGCGATAAACGATAATTTCCTCTTTAATGTGTGTTTTTCGGACGAGTGTACGTTCTTCTTGAATGGTTTAGTGAATCGCCATAATTGTCGTTACTGGGCTGATACCAATCCAAGGATTTTCCATGAGACACACTCCCAACACCCCCAGAAGTTGAATGTATGGGCAGGTATTTTTGGAAATTCCATTGTAGGTCCTTTTTTCCTTCCTGGAAATTTGACAGGCGATATGTACTTGGATTTACTACAAAATGTCATCGACCCAGCTCTAACAAATATCATAGAGGACGACCCTGCTTACAATGAACACGAACTGATTTTCCAGCAAGACGGAGCTCCTCCACATTACTCGCTCAATGTGCGCAATTACCTAAATGAGACGTTTCCAGGACGCTGGATAGGACGAAGAGGTGCAATTGAGTGGCCCCCTCGGTCACCCGACTTAAATCCTTTAGATTTCTTTCTCTGGGGGCACATTAAAAGCAAAGTTTACAGCACTCCACCTGATACCTTGGAAGATCTGCGAGGACGAATCATTAATGTATGTCGCGAAGTAACACCGCAAGTGCTCCAGAATGTTCGACAACGGTTTGAAGACAACCTGTATCATTGTATGCAAGTTGGCGGACAACATTTTCAGCATTTACTTGACTAATACCGTAAGTTTTGAAGTAAAATTAAATCGATTTTCGCATTTCTCGTCAAAAATATTGTTCGTATTTTCAAAGCTGCATATTTTCTAAAATAATGAATCGATTTTCAAAAAGTAAGAATCGATGTATAGATAATTAAAAGCCCTTTCTAATGACCCCCCACTTGACCCCATTCCCATTTGAAAAAATTTAGGGGATAGCACCCCCACTTAGGGGGTTGAAGATTTTGGTATGCTTTTTGAGCCAAAAGTTGTCCCCCTCAGAAACAAATTTGACCTGTTTTTGGATTTTGCCGAAAAGTTCTTTACTACCCTGTAATGCCTTGCGGTACATTTTCGATGGGTTACCCTGTATATATACTGTACTGGAACATAGAACAACATTAACAAAAATTTTGAGCAAAAATCTTATCATTGATCTTCTTCTTCTTTATGTTTACTTATATCACTAGGCTTGAATTATATTCAGAAATGTTTTCGATGTTCAGTCGAATTATTTATTCAGGTGCCGTATTGCCAAGAAAATTACACACCAAAATTGCAAATAAAATAAAAAATCAAACCTGATATTATGAAATTGAATCATTGAAATAAAAATGTGAAGGAATCATTGAGTTTATAAGCTAGTCCTGTATATTTAATGAAGAAAGCTATGCCAAGCGTCCTGATTTGCTATTGCCATCACGTAACAGTAATTGTTTAGTCAATGTGAACCTTTGTAGAAATTATTGTGTAGTGTTTTGACAACCAGTCTCTTCGGTAAAGAAGATCAATTAGGAATCCAAAAATATGTTCAAAATCTTATACAAAAAAATAGCAAAAGGTCTAAAACAATCGTATGGAAAAGGTTCATCGAGTTTCATTTGCAAATTGTATAACTGTATATCTTGAAAACGACGGAATTTTTGATAAAAATCATTCTTTAAATTTGTATTTTTGACAACCAGTATTTTAAAATGAAAAATGGCTTAAGAAAAATCCTATTATTTTAACCGAAAGAATACGTAGTTAACGGTTGGATCTACATTCTTGGTAGCTACCTTCCTAATGCAAAGTTGAAGAAATTTCTAATAACAATAGCATATACAGGGTCGGAAAATCCCCATGGTTCATCGGCCGCTACGTGAGAACGATAAAGTAAGTCATAGAAATTCGTGCGATAGAGAAAGATAGCTATAATGAAGGCGTCTAATAGTCACCGCACATTTCGCCCTTCCACAAATAAGAAGTGGATCTTGCTTGTGGAAGGTACAACATGTAACATTTTTCAGATCAAAAATTCCCCTCTGGAAGTTTGGGCAAATTATATTGTGTCAGCTACTTTCGACAAGGAAGGAAATAAGGACCATATAACTGCTTGGTTCAATGATGCCTATCACTCTGCTGGAATCTCGTTGGCACTTGTGTTAAACGCTGCATTCAAGAAAGCATTGGATTGTAAAGAATGTTCGATACAGTTCATAAATCATCCGATACCTTACGACCTCGATAAAAAAGTAAGACTTAAATAATAAAACCAATACTTTCATAATTATAATATTTTATAACCACAGAAATGACCTAGGTGTTTAACGAGACCAGTTTTTATAAACAATTTTTTAAAAATGTTGGTACATCTAGATATTTATTAAAGAATCAGTTATTATGGCAACTTTATACTAGATGTTCGGAAGCGCATAGCAATTTGATATGGGACATCAAACAATTTTGTTTTTTTATATTTTTACAAGTCATAAAATACAGGGTGTAACTAAATAAGTGTAAAACATTTAAGGGGGTGATTCCTCATCGAAAAAAAGATAGGATCTTTCATATAAAGAAACTTCATTGGAGCATCCCTTGTTAAGACACAGCCCCTTAAAGGGGGTACATAAAATTTGTTTAACAATTCTTTTCACAAGCACTAAACAAGTTACAATATTGAAATTAACTTGACATTTTCTATTACCAAAACGACACTTAGCCAGTAATTTATTTGGTTTACCCCATGGTTGTAAGGGGTGGAAAACGCAACCCCTAAAATTTATTTCCAACGTAACTTTTTGTCTTATTATTTGTTTACCATTTAAAAATTTATTTCCGATAGCCTGTTTCATTCTAAAAAAAAATGTCTCTTGAATTTTTTGCCCAAATTAAACCAGTTCGCAGCAAAAAATTATTTTACGAACAACTACAGAGATACATCGTCATAAATGCGGACTGGATTTACTGTTATTTTGTAGTTACTACCTGCATTAAATGATTAAAGGGGAATAATCAAAACTAATTTATTAATAACAAAACATACAACATGTAGAAATCATAGTAAATGTTCAATATGTCTACCTTCAGACATTACGCATGCGTCTAGACGTCGGCGCATTGAGCCACGTATTCGCTCAAATATTCCTGGAGTCTCTCTAATTACCCTGCACGCATCGATAATGCGGTTTCTTAAGTCCTCTACATCGCGAACAGGAGTACGATAAACCAAATGCTGCAAATGGCCCCAAGTAGACAAATCCAGAGGATTGAGATCCGGGGATCGAGCGGGCCAATTCTGTGGTCCTCCTCGACCTATCCACTGATTTGCATATGTTTCAGTTAAATGCTGACGTGCTACTTGACTAAAATGGGCGGGAGCCCCATCATGCATAAAAACCATATCCCTTCTGACGCCCAAAGGAACTTCCTCCAGCAGTACGGGGGGATGCACTTTTCTTAAAAATTGAACGTATGCCTCACCATTTAATCGAGGAGGTAGAAAATGAGGCCCAATTAAATAATCCCCAATAACTCCGACCCACACCTTAAGAGAAAACTGTTCTTGATGGTTAGTTTCGACAATAGCGTGATGGTTTTCATCAGCCCATATGTGGTAATTATGAAAATTAATAATCTTGTCCCGAGAAAAACTACATTCGTCTGTGAATTCGATCGTCTTCAGAAAGTCACGATTTCTTCTAATCATTTCCAGCATCCAATTGCAAAATTCAAGACGGTTCGGAAAGTCTCGCGGTAACAGTGCCTGTACTCGTTGCAGATGGTAAGGGTATAAGAGATGTTCCTTTAAAATTCGAAATACCGTCATATGATCAACATTTAGCTGGAAAGCAATCTTTCTAGTACTGGTAGTAGGTTGTTCTTCTATCAAATTAAGTACTGCTGCCTCAAGCTGTGGTGTTCTTACTTCTCGATGGCGACCACAATCCTGCGTTCTTTTGTTGAATGAACCATATTCACGTAATCGTTGATGAAGTCAGACAAATATTCTATGTGAAGGATGCTGCCGTTGAGGATACATTTCAGCATATCTTGTAGAAGCTTCTAACCCATTCCCCTGCGACAGACCGTAAACGTAATGCATATCAGCCATTTCCTCATTTGTGTATGCCATTTTAATAACAAGTGAATTATTAAAGTAACAAATTAAGAACAGAACAATACACAATTAGTATTACTTCAATTTCAAAAATTTACAAACTGACAGCTTGATTCCAATTTAATTGTCAGTATCGCTAATGGCGGCCTACTAGATAAATTAGTTTCGTATTTTCGTTTTATGGCGATATGTATCTTGTTCGTAAAATAATTTTTTGCTGCGAACTGGTTTAATTTGGGCAAAAAATTCAAGAGACATTTTTTTTTAGAATGAAACAGGCTATCGGAAATAAATTTTTAAATGGTAAAAAAATAATAAGACAAAAAATTACGTTGGAAATAAATTTTAGGGGTTGCGTTTTCCACCCCTTACAACCATGGGGTAAACCAAATAAATTACTGGCTAAGTGTCTTTTTGGTAGTAGAAAATGTCAGGTTAATTTCAATATTGTAACTTGTTTAGTGCTTGTGAAAAAAATTGTTAAACAAATTTTATGTACCCCCTTTAAGGGGCTGTATCTTAACAAGGGATGCTCCAATGAAGTTTCTTTATATGAAAGATCCTATCGTTTTTTCGATGAGGAATCACCCCCTTAAATGTTTTACACTTATTTAGTTACACCCTGTATATTGTTCCAGAGCAAAATGGATTTCGATTTTTTCTGCAGTAGCTGAGTATTTGGTAGGACTTGAATACAATTAATTTAAATTAATAAACTTAGCACAAATGTGCTTAGTTTAAGAGCTAGAAGGCCCTGAAGTATAAATTTATTTTTTGTTATAAAACGACTTATGCGATTTTGATAAAATTTGGCACGTTGACATAGCTATATGGGACAAAATGCTCTATGTCAAAATTGTGATAAATATCAATCCATACAGATAAAATAAAATTGGTAACTTATTTACCACAAAGTAGAATTGATAAGATTTGATCTTGCTAACAAAAATACGCTCGTTTCGTAAAATCTACTGTCATTGAAAATCAAATTACGACAAAAGCATCAGGGTATTCGAGTCTTATTGACACACCTATTTTGTTTCAACATTTTCATACCGATGTATGCTCTTTTACATCGATTATTAGTTATAAATGAATTAAATTAATAAGGAACAAATATTTTCAGGTACTTCAACTCACTGGTGAAGATAAGACAGGTGTATTATCGAATCAAGCAAGTTCCCTGGCATTTATATCTGCGATTTATGTAATTTTTATAATAAGAGAAAGAGTGTCCAAGTTCAAACATCAACAGATGATCTCTGGAGCAAATGTGCTGGTATTCTGGTCAGCAACATTAATATGGGATTTCTTAACATTCGTTTTGATTTGTTTAGTTATTTTGGCTACCATTGCCTGTTTTCAAGTGGAAGGATTGAAAACCCCTTCTCAGTTAGGTATAAAAAAATAATTCAAAATTAAATAAACACCTAATGACGGCGACCTCAGTATTGTCTTCGAAAGGGGAAAACCGTCTAAATAGCTCGGAAAATTATGGTTAAAAAGATAAATGGTAGTTTCATTCGCAAAAGTCATGGCACAAATTCATTTGACGCAATACTAATTATGAACAGAATATTCTGAAATAACTCTTTCTATATTAAGCGATTTTTTCCAAATTTCGTATAGGTTCTTAAATATTTAAATTTTAAGAATTTATATTAAATTCAAAATAAACTACAGCTAAAAAAATAATTGGTAATAAAATTAACCACTGTTATTAGTTGAAGCTCTCTTTCCCCTAAATTTGACACCACGGCATCTAGTCTAATCATTATAGACATGAAACAGCCTGTTTCGGGAAAAAAATACTATTAGAAGTTTCTTTGAGGAATATTGTTTGGAAACGTGTTATAAACAAAATATCAAAAAATCAACTCGAGGCTAGTTGGGAAACTGTTATTCATAGTGGAAAAAAGTTTATACAAAAAAGGTAGGTATCAAATAAATCTGTAAAATAAGACAAGTCCGATTAAATTCTGATAATTTGTTTATGCGCAAGAGCTCAAAATGGTCGAAAATGGCCGTTTCTTTCAATTGCTAATAATTAATGCAATTTTCATCGCAGACACTTGTAATTCAGGATTTTTGAGGTTTTTTACACCCTTAATAAGTGGTAAAAATTTCAAGCCGAAAGCTTCATTGGTTTGGTGTTGGCGGAATTTGTTATCTAAGAAGACGATATTTTCAATTCATTTTTCCCAAACTCAAAGGCGTTGTATAGTTTCGATCATTAGTAGTTTTTGTACCTAAATAGTTGTATTAACATATGCATTTACTGAGAATTTAATTTAAATGTTAATATTTATTAAATTGTTAAGATAGGTAATTACTATTGTGCAAAACCGTACTTATCTTATCAACTTCGACGTCACCTGTTACATGAGTGTTGTATAATAATGAAAAAGTAATATTAACGGTTGGTAGAAGGAAGCGCAAAAAAGCAAACGTCTAGGTGGGGCATTCTGGAAGGAATTCTAAATAGTTGAAGATAGGCAGTTGAAGTGAGAACAGCGCGGAGTGAAAGTAAGACGATCGGCGGGCAGTGTGTCAAAAATATAGAAGTAGTGGAAAATTAAGTGTTTAACCGATATTAGTTAGCAGGTAATATTCTTTAAGTACTTTGTTGTTAATTGTTCTACGTAATTTTATGATTGTGATGTTTATAGATGTTTAATGATAATAATTCTTTGTATGTTTATTTAGCTTCCATTGCTTTATGCTCAACGGCATATATTTTTCTAAGGTAAAATTGTTACAATTATTATTAACGATTGCTCATTATTTATTTCATATTAAAATATATATACTGTCGTGATTGCCCAGACATTACAATAATGACTCCTTTGATTTACATCTAACTTGTTTTTGTCATGATTACGTTGTTTGAAAACATAGATGTTTCATAATAATAATTCTGTGTATGTTTAGCCTTCATTGTTTTATGCTCAGGGGCGTATATTTTTCTAAAATAAAATTGTTACAATTATTATTAACGATTGCTCATTATTTATTACATGTTAAAATATGTATATTGTCGTGACTGCCCATATATTGCAATAACAACTACTTTGTTTCACATTTAACTTGTTTTATCTTGATTACGTTGTTTTTTGATTTCTTGTGCTCACTTTATGTCATACGTCTATGCGAGCCTTGTTGAATTTACTAACATTTTCGCCCGTGCGGAATGAATCTGTGTTAGGCTGGATTGCTTCCCGTATGGGACTCCAGTGCTGGAACAGATCTTCCGAAATCTCAACTATAGCTGGATTGCCTCCCGTATGATGGGACTCCAGTACTTTCCGGCCCTGCCGGCTAACTAACAACAAACCTCTTCAGTTTTACTTGGAAGTGTGTATGTCTAATTCGAGTGAGGTGACATTTAGTGACACATTAAATGAGACAGTTTTTATTTATCATTAGTAAAGGATCCTAATGTATGCCTTTAGTTAAGGTTGTTTTGTATTTATATTTGGGTGGTAAGAGCAACGATCGTGGGTTTCTCTGCCATGCTCTTTCCCCACAGGAGCTCTAGGTGAGCCTGGCACTGTCATTTTATGTTAAATGGTTGTTAATGTTTTTGGTGTTCATTCTATTTGTTACATGTTTGATTAGAAGACTGTTGTACGTAAATAATAATGTTAGGTGTATTTACTCTGCTTTCGTTTTTATAAAATTAAACAATACATCCCCTCAAAAAAAGTTAGTAGCCAGCGCCTTCCGGTCAATTAAATATAGATGTATACAACGTAGGTATTCGTTATGACGATCACATAATTTTGGCCACAACTACGTTTATATGTTTTTTCGATCGAACCCGGTGTTGTTATACTACACTATAAAATGAAATAGTAACCTCTATAGTTTAGTAGCACTATTTTTCTTCGAATTAAAAAAAAAATCATTGTTCTAAGTTGATTAGAAGCTGAGATATTTTTTTTTTATTTAATCACAGTGACCTTAATTATTAATATTAAGAGCGGATTCGGATGTGACGCAAACTCGTGGCAGCTTTTTAAAAATGCAAAAAACATCGCCATTTTGAAATACTCGAGCGTAGACGATTCAGCTTGATGCCCTGGTCATGCTGATCCATAATCTGACGATTATTTGGAGGGGTTTTCTTAATGTGACGGTTTGAAAAATTTTTTTTTTCATATTTTTTTTTAAATTACTGAATGTGACCAATAAAAAGCACGGAAAATAGCATACAAATAAAAACAAATAATAAATTTTGTTGAAATTTGTAAAAAAAGTTTATTTTATTTTCTGCACACGTAAATTTATTTCTTTTAATTATAATACATATAAACACATATAATATATACATTTGGTAATCTCTTTCTCTGATAAAAATATGGATGATAAAGAAATAAGAGGTAAAAAAAATATGGCCAAGGTTAATAAAAAACGATGTTTTTAGTTTTTTATCGTTTTATTGGCAAAAATAAAAAATACGGGTCTCTTAAAATTGTCTTAAGAATCTATGACCAAGTTTTGTTGCATTAGCTTCTGGACACCCTGTACATAATTACAGAAAGAGTGATCAAAAATTTGATGTTTAATAACACATTAATAGCGATTTCCTGGTAAACGGTTACTTTTATCGGCATGAACAAAGAGTACAAATTTTTTTCTGATATTGTTTCTCTTTTCAATAATGTTTAAATTTCTGAGATGTCTAGCAAGAGAAAAAAGTTATGAACCAAACAAATTTTGAATTCTACGTAAAGTGCCCTCTAGCGGCGCATAATGAAATTTTTCTCCGACTGGTCCAATAGAGCTTCATCTACTTAGTGGGTGTGCCAAATAAGAAACTAGTCGAACATGAATTAAATAAGTTATTTAAATAGAAAAATAAAAAAAATAACTTTGACAAGTTGTAACTTGCAAACAATTGACAATTCGAAAAAAATTTTCATTACATACATATTGCTATTAGTTTAGTCCATAGAATCACCTCCAGGAGTTTCCTGACAGAGCTTCAGAACAACATGTATTTCCCTGCAGCTGCACCCGCTAAACTTTATTAACGATTTTTGTTACTTCGGCTTGTGGAAATCGGCAGATTATATTTTTCCCGTTATCCTTGAATTATTTCATTCAAAATAAAAAAAAATTGACTGCGCTCGAGAATGTCGAGATGACGTTTTTTTTTGCAACTTTGTGACCTTCCGACTGCCTTACGTCACGCTCAAATCGTCAGATTATTGAAATGCACACTTTTCAACATGTAATTATCCCATCATATCTTAATCCGACGCGCTCGAGTATTTCCAACTATCGATTTTTTTTTACTATTCTGATTGACTTAGATATGGTGGAGATACTCAACAGGGTGCAAGGTATCCCCCATATGTTAATCAGCCGCGCTTGAGTAACTCCCAAAATCCCCTCTTGGGCTCCCCTACTATAACAAAGTTCCCAACTAGTCTCGATGATTTTTTGATATTTTATTTATAACACGTTTCTGAACAATATCCCGCAAAAAACTTCCAATAGTATTTTTTCCCGAAAAAAAGCTATAATGACTGGCCTAATCTTTGAAATTCTCAATTTGACCTCCATTTAACCCCTAAGATTAATCTGTGGGTCAAGACCAACGTCTTTATCGTCATCATTAGAGTCGTCATTAGATCCATCATTTTAAGATTTATTTCTTTTCTATTTCAGGTCTTATATTTACATTCTTCATAGTGTTTGGTTTCGGATTCTTACCCGTTGCGTACTTACTATCCAACTTATTTCAGTATCCTACATCAGGATACATATATATGATATTAATTAACTTATTTTCAGGTAAGGATATGATATATTTCTTTCGATTGGTGTTTTTAAAAAAAAATCAGTTTGTTATATGAACTACAGTTTTGAACGAGAGAGGTTATCAAAAAACGGTTGTTATTTGTTTATCCCGCGAGCACTTTTTAGGAACTTATAGAATATATTTTGTATATTCGGGTATTTAGTAGTGTGCCGACTTTTTTTATTTGATAAAATACGGTGTGCCTACAAACAGGTTGTCTTCGAGAAATCAGGCTTGTTAAAACATTCTGCACTAAGTTTATACAATTGTTAAAATTATTTATAATAAAATGCAGCATGCTCCTTTATTTACTTGAATACGTTTAACGCGGAACGCGGAACCCACAGTAAATGTGAACCACAGATTATGATGTGAACTTGGCAACGCTGCTCGCTTCAACCGACAATTGTTCGTGACATTACCTTACAAAATTTTCCGAGCATCCGGGCATCTGCCAGGGCCGCCTTCGTAGCGGGAGTTATGGGTTGGTTAAGTTGGTTTCCTTACAAATGTCTCAACAAATTCAGTAAAAGTGCTTACCTGAACGTGCAGAATGTAGATTTTATTTATGGGGCAACATATAATTTCCACTCATGAAAAAGTATTACTTTACCCAATTGGTTTTATAAGCTTCGTAAATAGTATACTCAATATTTATACCCGTGTTGAAAATGAACTGTAAATGATTTTTGAGTAATTTTAAATTATGTACAGCGTATACCAGTATGTAATGGTAGTGTGTCAAGTTTAGTATACATTATGTATTATGATAATTGTTACTTTTATTTTGATTTTTTTTTTTTTGTAGGAGCAATAGCCACAATTATTATTACAATTGTAGAAATATTTTCAAAGAAGACGTTAACAGAAATTCTTCAGAGGATTTTTCTTATTATTCCACATTTTTGTGTTGCGCATGGCCTGAAGGAAATCTATAAATTTCAAACTTATAAGAGGATGTGCGAACAGTGTGTAACTGATTTCTGTAATCCAGAACTACTAAATTACTGTTCAGGTAAGTTAGTCGACATGCATAAAATTTAATGCAAGTACTTTCGCTTTCGGTTAAGCCATAATTAATTAAACATGCGATTAAATTGTGAATATATTGTGATAAAATGAATGATATCTAGGAATCTGAATAATAAAGGAAAAGGCAGGTTAAAAAATATCAAAATTAATTTAAAAAATATATATAAGTTTGACCAAGTTTGGTTGGTGAGAATGTAGAACCAAAAATAATGTGTTTTGACAGAAGTCAGAGAAGAAATGAAGGAGGCTTCTGAAATTGAGATAGTACATAAAATTGAATTTAGAACATGACATATAAAACAATCAGAGAGAGAGGATTTCAAATAAAAATTTAATTAAAAGATCATGTAATAAATTATATTCAAAATTTAAACGTGTTGTGATTGGTAAAAATTTTGTATTACTAGGATTAAGAATATGTAATAAAAAAAACATAGTGGGTATAGGAAAAAGAAAAATAATAAATAAGGATGAAAATTTTTAAGAAAATGAGACAGTCAAAACTTTAGTCAAGAGAAAAATATTAAAAAGAAACATACCTATAGCAGGGTATGCATGAAAAATAGTCAGCTACACCATTTGATTGAATTTCGCGGAACAGAGAAGCACAAGTAAGTACCAGCTGACGACAACACGAAACACTATCCTGTTATAAGAAAATAAACCAAGCTTGTGCTTGTGGATAAACCGAAATAGCACAATTCGCCAATGGGAATCGGAAGTACGGAATAGCAGAGAAGAAGTACAGTGTACCGACATACAAGATAGATTTCAACCAACTAACATTGACAAGACTAGAGGGTGCATACTGCAGAGGCTATAGGGGAACGCAAAGCGCATCAGCACCAAATGTAATACGAACATAGACAACCTAGACTGGACTATAGGGCGATTATGATGAAATAAAGGCAGTTGGGAGCCTGGTCTGTAGCCTGTATGTAGCCCATCGCCCCAGCGTGGTCCAGCGCCCCAGCGTGGCCCAGCGTCAGTCGTATTGGAAACTTGAGCTGTACGTGTTGCTTTGATTTCAATAATTAGTTATTTTGTCATGGGCATATGTATTGTAGAACATTGTAACTATAAATAGAAGTGAACAAGATGGGAAAGAGTGCCGAAAAGTTTCCTTCTCTAGATAAGTAAAATAAGCAATATACAGGGTGGCCAAACGAAACAAAGCCATTTTCAAGAACTGCGTCAAGGTTGTAGAAAAACTCTCAGACCCGTCGATTTTAGATTAAAGGGGGACATTCTTTGCTGGTATTTTTGACTCCGCCACTTTCTTTTGAAAGCTGTTACAATTCTCTTTACAACAGACTTTAAATTTTATAATTCCGCCCAATACTTTGAAAAAAAATTACATTTTAAAATTTAAATTATGTTTAGTTGCTTACTTACTACTTAGTTGATTAAATATTAAAACTGATGACCGCCCGCTTCCATACAAGAATAAAGATTCTGTTCGAAACGTTCGCGCACATTCCGACGCATTTCCGGAGTGATTCGACGGCATTCGTCGACGATTCTTTGACGCAAATCTTCCAGCGACGCTGGCTGTGTTTTATAGATTTTACTTTTTAGATATCCCCACAAAAAGAACTCAAATGGAGATAAATCCGGTGGTCGTGGAGGCCATTCAATGCTGCCTCTTCTCCCAATCCAGTTATATAAACGTAATATATGTAATTAATTTTTTTACGTAATATGACTAGTTACAAATCTAATGAATCATGATTATTATTGTAAAAATCGAATAAATCGCCAAAAATGAGGTTAAAAACATTACTTTTTAGGGAATATTTTTGGGCTCTTTAAATTGGGTATAGGACCTTCATACTTGGTTCAAGAAAACTTCATGTTATGTAGAATCATCACACCAAATTTTATCAATATCGGTTCGATAGATTTTGCATAATAATTTTGCAATCCAGATTTTGAAAAAAAAAACAAAATTTCAAAAATTTGCAAAACAAAAAACAAAGCCCTTAAAAAACTGAAAATTTAATCACATATAAAAGGGCTCTCAAGCTTTCAAACGCTTTTTGAAAAATTCGAATCCGTCAATTAGGAGAGCTCTGGCGCTTGTTTAAACAGTGGTGGAATTTTTGTACTTATAAACAATTAGAATAACCGTGAATATTCAATTAAATTAATTTTTTAAGCAGGTTTTAAAAGTTATTTCGAAAGACGCTTATTTAGAAAAAAACAGATCGATTGGTCAATTAATTACGTAGTTATAGCCGATCAAAGTTAACCGTCATTTACACTAAATGTACTGGGACGTTCGGGCTAATTTTTCGAAAAATACCTTTGGTGTTCCGAGTACTTACCAGGTCTAAGTTTGCAATACTTTTTTTCACTGGCAACTTACTTTAAAACGTGTTTAAAGTTATTTATGCAAGCGAGAAATTCAAGAAAATCGTACGGATGGTGGTGTTGGGGGAAGCAGAGAGCGCGACCGCTTCGGCCTGCTCGAAATTGAATCGGCGAGTTCAAAACTGCGACGTGCTTAAAAATTTTTAATATCTCAGCTTCTAGAGGTCCGATTTTGATGATTTTGTTTAAATCGATATCTCGCGATTAAAAAAAAAACAATTAGCGTATTTTCAAAATTCCGTAGAAAGTAATGTTTTTGAACCCCATTTTTGGCGATTTATTCGATTTTTACAATAATCATGATTCATTCGATTTGTAACTAGTCTTATTTTGTAAAAAATTTAATTACAAACATTTTTTGCCTGTTCCATTTTCGCTTAAAATCAACTCTTGAAAAGATACATAATTAAATAGGAAGAAAAATATTACATTTTTCGAACCTATTTTTTTAACCTATTGTGCCGCCAAAATTTAAGGCCATGTTTTTTTTATACGCATAGAAAATAGGAAAATTTTAATTTCTAGTGATATTTGAATGCCAAAAAGCCAAAAATCTCCGTGGATATACGATTCACCCAAATATGGACTTTTTGAAACGAAACAGATATCGTCTGGACTATAAATAAACATGGCTATCCTAAGTGAAGTAATTATTTTTATTGTATCTTTTTCTAGACGTCGATAACAGCTTTTTCATGTGGAAATCACCAGGGATTGGTAGAAATATATGTTACTTATGTATAGTGGGATTGACTTTCTTCTTGATCATCATAATGATCGAGTCCAAACTGTTCTTGATGTTATTTTACTGCATAAAAGGGAATAAACGTCGCCCTCTGCAAGGAGTAACATTTAAGAAAGAAGACAACGACGTAGCAGAAGAGAGAAGTAAGATAAAAAATGCTAGTAGGGAGGAACTTCTCAGCTACACTCTAATATTACGTGATCTCACAAAAGTCTATAAGAAGTTATTGGCCGTAAACTCTTTGTGTTTGGGAGTGCGAAACAATGAATGCTTCGGATTGCTGGGAGTTAACGGTGCCGGCAAAACCACCACGTTCATGATGATGACCGGAGACACAAGAATCACTTATGGTGACGGTTTTGTGAATGGGTACAGTATAAAACGACAGTTAAAAAATGCCCAAAAGTGTACGGGATATTGTCCCCAATTTAGTGCTCTTTTGGATGATCTGACTGCTCAAGAAACAATAGTAATATTGGCTTTGTTGAGAGGAATCAAATATAGCGCCTGCAGACCTTTAGCGGACACATTGGCGAGAGAGTTTGACTTTACACCACACTTGAAGAAACAAGTGAAGAAGCTCAGTGGAGGAAATAAGAAGAAATTGAGTACAGCCGTCGCCGTCATAGGAAGTCCAACTGTGCTTTATTTTGACGAACCCACGACAGGTAAAGCGAAACAGGAGAAAGTAGATATGTACTTAATGCAAATATTAACTAAACAACTAATTTTGAAGGTACTGTAGCTTTTAATAATGAGTCTCTCATTCTACTTTCTAGGACTAGATCCCGTGACAAGGCGGAATTTGTGGAATGCTCTTTGTAAAGTCCGTGACAGCGGCAAATGCTTGGTTCTCACTTCACATAGCATGGAAGAATGCGAAGCTCTGTGCACCAGATTAGCCATCATGGTGAATGGACAGTTCAAGTGTTTGGGTTCATCACAACATCTGAAGAACAAGTTCGCGAAGGGCTACCAACTCATCATCAAGCTAAAGAAATCGGCTGAAGCTCTGTTTTTTGTAGATTCACGGTCCATAGAAATGTTTGTAAAATCACAATTTCCCACGGCCGTTCTCAAAGAGAAGCATGAGGAAATGCTTTTTTATTACATCAAAGATTTATCGATACCTCTGTCTCAGATGTTTGGTATTTTGGAGAGTGCGAAGAAAGGCGACTATAATCTAGAGGATTACTCTCTTGGACAGAGCAGCCTTGAACAGGTATATGCTCGACATCCAGAGCACTTTTATTATTTTAACTTTATACTTTGAATACAATGATAGAGAAGAAGGTACAAAGCCTTCAGAAATGATTACAAACCACTGTGACCATTGGGCATAGGCAACCAACATTGCACGATTGTCACTGTCAGCTAAGAAAAAATCCTAAACCCCAGTGGAAGGGTTGCAGAGGTTACAGATTTGATTAAATATTTACATTGACATTACATAACCATGTTCAAAATTGTGTCCTTTATTAACCATGCACAAATTTTCCTGTGCATATTTTCATATACAGATTGCAGTTGTTATTCTGTTATATTTTTAATTTCTCGAATTTATTGATGCTTCTAATTATTCGATGTTGCGCTATACCGTTTTAAAAATGGTATTCTCCTCAAAATTGAATTGTTGATCTTGCAGTAGGTATGTTCGATTGCCCCAACTCGCTGAAAGTAACCTATTTGCAACTCATCATCTAATTGTATTAAAAATTACTCTAAAATAAGGATTCAGTATCTTTCAGCATTTATAGTTTCGTAGAAGAAAAAGAGGCTACCCAATTACTTCTATTTTAACCGGGGACCTATTGAATAATAATAATATCTTTTTTTTTTCAGGTTTTCCTTACATTTACTAAACAACAAGTACAATGACCGGAATGAAGAAACTATACAATTGGATTTTACTTACAGTCACTTCTAACAACACGATTTATTGTTATTGATAATAAGTCGAAAATAAAATATTTTTTTATCCACTAATACCAAAGTTTACAGAATATATTTATTCTGTAAACTTTGCCAATACTGTCGTAATTCCCAATCTCCAGTTGATTATAAATTTATAGTTATCGTATCTTTTGCTTGTTTTCACTAATTTTATTGAAAAATAATTTGTTTTGTTCCTAAAGGAGGAACACAAAGACAAATTCTCCTGCAGGTAGAAGAACATATTGTTCCACATATTGTTGGTGATCAATCTGGTATAACCACAAGGAGAATTGGCAACTGCAACTAAAACAATGATACAAAAAAGTACTTAAACAACAATAAATCTCATATCCAATGAAAAGACAGAAGTAGAATATTTTTTTTTTCAATTCATACTGCGGGATCAAAACGCTTACAATGAGAAAAAAGTGCAATCTTCATCTATAATAAAAAGTTATAATTGTAAGGAAGAATAATCAGTCCTTGATTTTTGAATATTTTATATCTGTATTCAAATCATACTTCTCTTAAATTAAATCTATATTTCAACTTTACTTTCCGAAAAAATGTATTGAAATAAGCGAATAAATGATTGAATGTCAATAATAAGTGAATATTTTCCAAACTTAAGGGGACAACGTCTTTTAACAATAGATGAAATAAAGGTAAAATCGCAAGTCGTGCTCAAGACGATACCTAAGGAGGCGTTCCACCAGTATTTCTCAAACTGGGAACTACGTTGGTGTAAGTACCAACCAGGGGGACCACCTTAAACGTTATGGGATAAAAATTGAAGATTAAATAAATATTTTCTGAGAAAATTAACAAATCTCGTTACTTTTTAATAAAACCTCGTCTTAACACTAAATGGGTCCCATTTTTTGTACTTTTATAGGCCAATCGATAAAGCAAAAAATAGTATATTATGTTACTAGGAGTAGAAGGCGATCATTATGTGTTGAGCCCAAAAGTTTGCTCGCCGAGGCGTTAGCCGAGGCGTTAGCAAATTGGGCAAAACACATAATGAGCCTTCCACTCCGAGTGACATATACTATTTTTTCTTCAAGCGTGAATATAAAAAATTACTAATTTTGAAAATTTATAGCGGATAACGCGATGTTCAATCTCAGCACAAAATAAAATCAGTAGGTAGGTAATACTATTTATTTTATACATTTTATACATTTTATTGATTAATTAAACATGACAGTTTTAACCACTTTATTCATGAATAAAAAAACAAATGTAACAATTATTTTTCTTTAATTTGAATTAAACGAATAAACATCTAAATTACCTACATGTCTATCATCAAACTTTATTTATTAACATGAATATTAAATGTGCAATTTTGTATGGTACAGTTGTTGATATTTAAAGCGCTGCTGGCTGTCTTTTTTTCAAAGTTTACAGTTCTGTCGTTGAATACGTTACTTGTAATAAGGTTCTCAGTTTCAGTGTTAACAATTGTACCATTATTAACAGAAAAGTCTTCGATTAAATTATTTTCAGGATCAATATTTACAGTTTCGCTTGATGTACTTGGTTCATTATACTCTAATGGGTTTAATATTTTCATCGCTATCTGTTTCTTATTGTTTACAGAATCTTCAATGTATCCTTCAGCGACGCTGGTAGATTTCCATCCACCATGTCGCTTTAGGGTTGTAATGTCTCCACCATTATCAACTAAGATAGTTGCCGAGGTTCTTCTAAGGCAATGCCC